GGGGAGTGGTTGAAATTCTAGCTGCTATCGTTTGGTTGAGCGGGATTGATGGAATTCGAAGAAAAGTTTTCCTCGAAAAATTTGTGTGGTGGTTTCTGCCTTCGGGGTTGTTCACTTGGAAGTGAACTCGTTGTCATCCTCTCAGAAGAACAGCTTAAAATTTCCGAAATGCTGGACAAAAAGGCCGAAAATATGAAAATCGCAACGATAAGACAGGTCACGTACGAAGAAACACTCGCTAAGACAAAGAGCCTGTCGGAGGATTTTCCATATGCCCCGTTACGACATGCCAGGGAAGATTTGTTGACTGCGGATAGCAACGCGGAAGTCGCAATAGTTATTTACGGAAACTTAATGGCGAAAATGGAAATCGCGATAGCGAAAGTACGAAAGACGGATATTGCGAAGAAGAAGCAGGCTGAGATATTTGAGAAAGTTTACAAAGAGTCGCAAGAAGCACTCGCGAAAATGGCGAAGGAATAGTTAGTGTTAGTAAATAATCAAATACTCGAAAAATGGAGTATAACAATTAGATTTCTATTTTAAACCTTTATATGTGCCGCCGCCACACTTTTACTGCTATATGCTGGGCCAACGCTTTTGGATCCTATACAGTTGTTCTTGTGGGTCCTGACCCAAACCAAACAAATTAATTTCTAAAATCCAAAGCTCTGGAGCAGGCACAGGGATTAAATATTCAGTTATGCTCTTTGGACATGTGGTATTGCCCCCTTCTTTTGATAGCGCTATTGGCTTTGTTGCCTCACTTGACTTATAGCCATTATAGACTCCCCATTTTAACGGGATTCATGCGATACGTAGAGAGATGTCCTTAGGCTTTGGAAATATCGTCATGTCTAATTCAAGATATCACAAGACTTATCTCCAACCCCGCATCGGTACTTCTTGGCGCATCTAAGCGAAGAAAGCAAGCCCAGCAACACATGTGAATCATATAGATGCACTTTCCAAGATAAGATAATTGGGCCACTAAGCTGTTTTATATATAAAGTTTGTATATCTCGAGTTACACAACTACTGCTGGATGATTACGATGCATTGTGCAACCCCTCTCTCGTGGATCGTCTTGTTCATTATTTATACCCTGATCCTTCTCTTTACCTCACAACTTCTGATATCTTCCACAGTTCTATCCACCAGAAAATTATTAGAAGGAGTTCTATCCCAGTATGTCCAACTCCACCAAAGAAGAAATGCTCCTAGGCGAGTACCTCATTCGCCGCCTTCAGCAGTTAGGAATAACGACCATCTTCGGCGTTCCTGGAGGTTTGTTTTTCCCACTTGCACCTTGCCCATACCTTAAACTAATCCTTTTCAAGACTTTGAGCTCCCGCTGCTCGACCAAATACCGCCGCAACAATGGTCGGGATCACCCAACGAACTGATAGCTGCCTATTCCGCCGATGGCTATGCTCGTATGAAAGGTTTTGGTGCCTTGGTCACAACCTTCGGGCCCGGTGAGACGTCTGCTATATGCGGTACTGCGGGAAGTTATTGCGAGAGTGTTGCAGTTCTGCATATTGTGGGTTATCCCGGTGTGAGAGCTCAAACGAAGGGGAAGATTTTACATCATACTCTGGGCGATCTGAAGTACGAGTAAGTATAACCTAGATTAGGAGTTATGGGGTATGGCTTTATGAATGATGTTGCTGATTTTGAGGCGGCTTTGAGCCATTATTTGAAAATGTCTGGTAAGTCTAGCTTTGATGTATCGATTCATTCGCCTAGTGATGGACTTATTCCATTTTGTTTGAACGAGCCTTTCAGAAAGAACTAGGCTAACAGCATTACTCAATACACAGCCGAAGTCACCTGTGCAGCGACAATACTCAAAAATGCCGAAGAAGCTCCCGATGAGATCGACAAGATAATCAAGGGTACTCTCCCGAGATATGGGCCTCCAATCCAAGTGTTCTAACTTATTTGGCAGCAATGATCCACCATAACAGACCAGCTTAGTAAGTCTTCTCAATCAACCCGTAGTGGCTTCTCAACACTAACCAACTTTCTAGTCTTGGCTTTCCAGTCGACTTACAAACGACCAAAATCAGTACTGCACAGCTCAACGTTCCTCTTCCTCAAAGTCTGAACATGAAAGAGGACAACGATCTTAATGATTGCAAGGAGCTCGCTTTCACGATTACTGACAAAATCCAAAACAGTCGAGCACCAATAATCATATCGGATGGCGGTATTTCTCTTTGACACTTTCCTCATCAATTCCTTAATTTTTGCTGCCACAGGAACGTGGGCTAATGAAATATGACCACAGGAGCAACGAGGAACAATATCGAACCTCTCATTCAAGAACTTGGTGATATGCTACTTTGTCCCATGTTCACGACTTTCATGGGTAAAGGCTCGGTTGATGAGCAGAGTCCACTATTCTGTGGTGTCTATGGCGGAAAAGGCAGTCTACCCGACACGATCAAAACAGTGGAGGGATCAGATTGTGTGCTTTGGGTGGGGAACTTCCCTGTGAGTTTGTTCTTTTCATTCTAAATTATTCATCGCAGAAGAAATAGAAGCTGATAAGATATTTTTGATAGAGTGACTTCAACACGTAAGTCACTTGTCCTATGGTTCCGGTGGTCAAACCACGGGTCTCGCTTAACAATTTTAGGGGTGGCTTCTCGGAGAATGTAGCACCGGAAAATATCATTGATTTTCAACGCTTCGAAGTTAAGGTACCGTTCCATTTATTGCCTTTCTAGTCCATTGGCTTCGAATCCTTCCTTTTACGGTAGCATTGCATACTAAGATATGACCAACTGAAGATCGGGCATGAAAAACACTCGGCGAACATCAAAGCCATCTTCATGGAATTGATCAAACAAATCAAAGATCGAAATCTCACTGCAAAGTATGAGAGTAACTTGTCTTGTATTGCGTACCCAGAATACAAAGAATCAGAGGCGGAAGAGATTACGCATAAGTGGTTATGGCAGGTATGTTCACTCCTCCGACAAAATTCCATATTCATGGTTTCCTATACGAGCTAACAATACCATGCAGAGATTCTCAAGCTTTCTTCGATCATCTGATATTCTCATAACAGAAACAGGATGTTCTCAGGCAGGGATGATGGAAGCCCGGTTTCCAAGTGGTATCAAAATGTTCACGCAGGCTATTTTTGGGAGCATTGGGTTTGCTCCTGGAGCTGCTGTGGGTGCTTCTATTGCTGGAAAAGAATTGAATGGACAGGGGGAAAAGTACAAGAGGATGGTTTTGGTGGAAGGAGATGGCAGTTTGCAGCTCACAGTTCAGGCTCTTTCAGTGTTGCAAAGGGAAGGCTTGATCCCTGTCATGTGAGTTATTTTCCGTTCCTTCGCAGCAGGGGAAGAAAGACTGATTTATATTAAGTTTTGTGATCAATAACGGAGGGTGAGCTTCCCATATATGGACTTTTGTTTGACGACACTTGAGTTAAACAACATCGATAGATACACAGTGGAACGTCTGATCCATGGTCTTCATGCCCCCTATAACAAAATCTATTCTTGGAACTATACCGCACTCCTCAAAGTTCTCGCGCCTGATATCGAGTCGAGGTCTTATCATGTTAGTACTGCGAAGGAACTCGATGAACTCATGAAGGATAAAGAGTTTAACGAGGCTACATGTCCACAGGTACGGCTTCTATCTGAAGAAGGTGGTGGTATAAGATGGCACGGAATTGAAAATATGCTAATCTGTCGTGTTGTATAGTTGGTTGAGGTTATGATGGATGAATACGATTGTCCTAATTCGGTACAAATCATTGGAGAGACAGCTGCCAGACACAATGCTGGATGATTGTTCTTAAATGGTTGATGGGTTGTTGGTATTTCCTTGAGAATGTGAGGGACGAGGAGGAGAATTCGATACCTGAATACTATTTCAATCTGGTGGGTATCTTGGATGCGTCGAAATTATTTGCAGTCGAAATTATTTGCAGATTGAACCTTGATCAGTTTTATGTTTAAAATCAACGAAATCTATGTATTGCACGATTGGGTTAACTCGAGCACCCTACGCCTCTGGGTGCAAATTTTGGAAGCTGGATGGTCAAAAATTGTCATTGCTAATGTGATCCTTCTCATCCCCTCATTTCCACTTTATTTTCTGATGAAATTCATCAAGCGAATCAGTTGCCGAAATCGGCGATTCTTCAGCAAATTAAATCCGATATCTTAAATCCGATCGAAATTTCTAGTGAAGCGCCAAAACCGCCTTCTTGATTGTATCCAAATGAATATTGACATGCATGTTTCTTCCGGGCCTTGAAATGTGTTTCATGGTGTTGCAAAGCTCAGTATACTGTTCTAAGTCCTGCGGATCTTGGCAACCCATCTTGGCATAAGGTTCTTCTTTCGTGGTGATCGTTCCTGCATTTCGGTTATAGATCCAAAGTCAATTGCAAACGGACTAAAACGTTGCTCTAATTCACAGGCTTCAATTTCCTATTCCCGGGCAAGCGCAATAGTCCAGCAAACCTACTGCAACGCGCAGAGTCGCCACGTGGACAAGCCTATCTACAAGGTACGGAGCTTCCCCGCCAAATGCATGACACAAAAAGCCCTCACAACCTAACAAGTTCACTCCAATGGAAGCCACCCCAAAAATGGCTACACCGAACCCCCTCTCCCACGAACTGCTTATCGCCTCTCTAACCATCCAACGCGCCTCCCTCGCCACCAAAAAAGTCTTAGCCACAATCAAAACCACCAACAATGAAATCTCCAAGGCCGACTCCACACCCGTGACCATCGCCGATTTCGCGGCACAAGCTCTCATTATCAGCGCTATCCACCACGCATTTCCAGAGGATAGTTTCATTGGCGAGGAAGATTCTTCTGTTCTTCGACAAGATACCGAACTCTGTGGGAAAGTATGGGAACTGGTGAAGAGTACAAAATTAAATGATGAGGAGAGTGAGGCTTTATTGAAGCGTCCTCAGGATGTGGAGGAGATGATGAAGGTGATTGATTTGGGTGGTTGGGGAGTGGGAGGACAGGGCAGGGTGTGGATGTTGGATCCGGTTGATGGAACGGCAACTTTCTTAAAGGGTCAGCAGTATGCTGTTTGTCTTGCCTTGGTGGAGAATGGGAAAGAGGTGCTGGGAGTTATTGGATGTCCAAATCTAAAGTTCGAAAGCAGCAGAGTTGAGGAGGAGGATCTCGATGAGAGTGGATGGGGATGTATGCTTTCTGCTGTGAAAGGCGAAGGTGCTTTCCGAAGACCAATGGGTGAGAGTGGCTTGCAACCAGCACAAAAGCTCGAGAAGGAGCCAAAAGCCGGCGCGGGTCTTGCTACTTTGGAGTTTGTTGATTCCTCGATGAGCAAATCGACTTCTCATGAGAGTGTTCATCGAGTTGCAGAAAAGATAGGTGCCAACCATCCTGGTGCTGAGTTATGGTCATCTCAAATGAGATATATTGCCCTTATTCTAGGAAGCAGCATTATTCAAGTCCGTATCCCGCCACAAAAGATCAAAACTTCTTTTGTTTGGGACCACGCGGGAGGCCAGCTGATATTAGCAGAGGTTGGTGGGAAGGTAACGGATGTGAATGGGAAGAATATCGACTTTGGCCTCGGAAGGAATCTTGCAGGCAATTGGGGTATGATTGCATCTAGGGAGGGAGTTCATGAGCGACTCTTAGCTGCCGTGGATGAAATCTTGAAGCTATAACTTTCACCTAGGGAAACCAATTCCAGCAAAGACATTCCTCCCAGAAAATAGGACATAAGCCGTCAGTGATGGGGAATCATACTTTGAACAGACAACTTGATGAACTGTGATGTTTTCTTTCGAAGTTCTGCCATGAGAGAATATGTACCGAACCATTAGCGAACGATTTGAGATGACGATACAATAACATCAAAAGACTCGACTTGCTTTGCGTTTCGACCATATCTGGTACTCGGTGTACGGATTTTATTCGGGTGTTCTTCGAGGAATAGCCAAGATCGCCTCAGTTGACGTCTCAAGTGCAAACGGAGTTCTTTCAGGCTGCTGTAGGTCCACTTTTCCTTACCCTTCATGAATTTAACGAGATTTAATGTTGAGTTATGCAAAGTTTCGGCCATCATAGTAACTTCGTCAAGGCGGATTAAATGTAACGTTTTCGGAGTTTTCATACTGTTGCTCGTCTTAGCCGCGCTAGAAAACTTACGTTTGTTTTTCGCCCGGGAAGAAGTAATTTATAGACGCCTTTGGTGCTTTTGGTGAGATACTTCACAATGACACAACGTTATTTTTGGCTGTGGGCGTCGGCGTATGCCAAGCCGCCAAGTGCACAGTACCCAAGGTAATTTCCTAGAAGCAGGCTTTTGTGGATCTTTGCAGCAAAGATGCAGACTAGGGTGTAGCGTGGCGAGCGTGGAAAAGTATATTTGGACTGAGAATAAGAACACCACATGTAAGGCTGCGAGCCTCTGACAACGATCAATGGCCCAGAACATGCCCTCAAGGCAGACGAGAATGCCGAACGCCCACTAAAATTTGGTATCTATTTTGGTACAGCCAATGGAAAGACGATTGCCCCGCGATTGGAATCCAAATGGAAAACAACCGAGTCTTCGGACAAGAGCCGAGAAAACCAAGCTTCGATTCCCGGATGATCTAACATGACTATTGTGGGATCAAACATGACCGTTGAAAAGATGGATTTCCCTGGCTTCTATATAATCTGAAGAACACCCGCGATCGCAACTTTCTCCTCCACCCTCTTTTGGCTTTCTTTCTTGCGATTCTGCAATTTTCATTCTTCTCTTCTCGGCTCGTCCTTCTTTTTTGCATACATTCGTTCTACTAATTTCAGCCCACGTTCTTTTCAGGCCCTACTAGCCATTTCATATTTCTAAACGTCAAGATGCATCTCATTAATCTTCCAACTGCTCTCCTCCTCCTAACTTCGGTTCTGTCTACCACTGCCCTTCCAGTTCAGTGAGTATCTCTTCTCGGCCTATTACCTCTTCAGCCAACTAACCTTCTACCAGAAATGCAGAGGCAGAACTTGAAGCGCGAATGCCTGGGGAAATCAACCGAAGAGCCTGGGACAAGCCACCAGTCGATCGCAACTACAGACACCACCCCTTCAAAATCCCACAACCAGGAGCCCTCAAACCCCCACCAGCAGTAGTCGCCGCTGCGCCCCCAGTGCCCGGGAAGATGGGTGCGATCAGAAAACTCAAGAAACTCCTCGGTCGAGAAGCCGATGGCGAACTCGAAGCCCGCGATCCAATGATCCGGCCTAACAAGATCGGGTCCAAGATGTTCGGAGGTCCCACCTTACCTAAAGTTGGACATCCAGGTCTACGCAAGGGTGCTTCAATGCCTCCTCCCATTGCGCGGCCTGGATCGCCTCCTCACATCTCTTCCAAGGCGCCGCCTCTGGCTCCTCAGAAGAACTCTGCGCCTGGCGGTTTATTTAAGAGAGAGGCTTCAAAAACAGGGCAGTTAAGGATCCCATCCGCGAATAGAAAACTCGAGTACCTCACCCGTTTTATGACCCCAGAACCAAATTTACGCAACGCTGCTTCGAAACCTGCTCCTAACGCTCGGCCTGGATCGCCTCCCCACATCTCTTCCAAGGCGCCGCCTCTGGCTCCTCAGAAGAACTCTGCGCCTGGTGGGTTACTAGATGTACTTAAGAGAGAGGCTTCAACAACAGGGCAGTTCAAGATCCCATTAGAGAAGAACAAACTCGACTACATCACCCGTTTCATGAAGGGTACCCCAGGTCCACGTCCTCAGCGTGCTGAAATTCCCGCTCCAAAGCCCGCCCGCGTCCCCCGGCTACCCTTTCCTGGTAACACTCAGTCGCGTTTTGCATCTGAAAAGAAGGGTGGCGTTGCGAAGAGAGAGGCTGAAGCAGGGCCCACACAATTCAAGCTCCCAACACCTCGACACAAGCAACTAGGGAAACTCCGTCTGCCAAAGGAGAAAGAAGGCCCATTTTCTCACCAAGTCAAAATGCCAGTAGCAAAGCCCGTCCCGGGTGTACCCATGACGGTCCCTGGTTCTCGGTCTGGTCGGGTCAAGCCAAAGACGATGGGTGGCGCTGCTAAGCGAGAAGTAGAGGCAGAGACCCCACTACCTATCCTTCCCTCCAAGCTAGGAGGTGCCGGTGTGCCACAGACAGCTATACGCTCTCAGAGTGTGCAACTCTCTTCTTTTACCTTGCCGGCTTTCAAGCCAGCCACTGAGCCGAAGAAGAGAGGCATCCTTGCACGATCGCCTATTTATGGAAACAACTGGAGAAAGTTTAAGGAAGCGGTGGTGAGGAAGATCACGAAGCCTAACTTACCATTTGCTCCTAAGAAGGGGGCTTGGTAGATTGCGATTGGGAGGGAGGGAATGAAGGTTAATGATGTTATGCTTGATATGTTTAGAAATGGAAAAATCGATATAAAAAATCCAATACTTGTTCAAAAGTCATTCTGAATCTGTCTGTTGCCTTCCTGTCTTCTTGTTCTTTTTTTATCTCTTTTTCGTGGGTGATTAAATGTACTCCAAGTGAAGTGAGAAGATTCGACTTGAAATGTATTGTGGTAGGATTGCCCGTCAGGTTCGATTTAGAGAGCTTAGGGACTTCTAAAAGACAGAATCCTGGAGGTAATCGTCAAGTCTCGTCCACCTCACTTTGGCCGAATCTAACCGCCAAACCTTTCTAGATTTTTACATGGAGGCCTATGCACACGGTGGGATCAAATAGTTAACTTGTCACGTTAAACACCACAGCTATCAATTTCGGAAATTTACGTTTGGGGGTTAGGGTGTTTTATTGGAATGATAGGGGGAAGGGGGGAAGGACTCGAGTTCGAATCCATGGATATCCGAGGGCAGTTTGTGTGTTAGCTAGCTAGTAACTTCCCATAGAAAACGGCGGTACTTTCTTGTCGAAAGCACTGTGATCCTCTACGGAAGTTGGCTAGTAGCTTGCTTGAGTGGTCGAGGATAGAAACTAGTCCTATATACATTTTTTGTATCTTTGCTTCTTTTCTATTTTTTTTTTGATTTATTTTATCTAAATAACAGGTGTTATTCAGAAAGGTATTTTTAGTAAGGAGATAAAACAATACTAGTACTAGTACTTATGAAAGGCAAAAACAGGATCTTCTTTTGTTTTTTGGGTTTTCTAGATATTACATGAAATAGTAGAACAACTGACCTTATCGACTGACTTACTCTTCATCCTCGTCTTCCATCCAAGGGAGAACCCTTTTCGCGGCACCCAAGAACGCCTCATCATCCTTAACAGCTTCCCATCCCCCAGCTTTGCGAATTCGCGCCGCCTCAGCCGCTACACAAGCAGTAAACCGACCTCGAGGGAGGCCAGTGAATTGCTTCGCGTAGTGGTCCATTTGCGCCTTGGGCGTAGGGACCGCGGCCTTCTCCTCTGGAACAGGGGCGGGCTTAGGAGCTGGAGGAATATTTGGGAATGCTGGAGCAGGCTTCGCACCACTCGCCTTCCGAACTGGGACTGGGTTAGTCGCCTTACGGACGGGAGGGGGAGCTGGTGCTGCAGAGGATGAGAAAGGATAGTCACCCTCGGGAAGGGGATCCTGGAATCCTCCAGCGTTCATCTGGTGGTCCACGGACTTCTGGATTTGATCCGTGGAGAGAGAAGAGCCGGTCAGGCGGCGGTAGAACTCATTCCGGGTAGGAAGAGGTTTACCGTCCTCGTCGTATCGTGTGGTGTTGGTGTTGGAGCGTGATGGTGCCATTTGTAGTAAGTAGAGATGGTGTGGAGAGTATTTTCATGTTGATTATTGAGAGGGTATTTGTAGATTGAGCCGACTCTTGTTTTGGTAGAATACTGGTATTTGAATTTTTGTTCTTGTGAGATTGGGGTGTTGTTCTGGATTTGAATCGGATTTCTTTGATGGGAACAGGGCTTTGTTCTATTGTTCAATGCGTACGTATGCGTGAAGAACCAACTTCTTGTTGAGAATCGTGACTCGTACACAGAAGATACCAAATAGCAACAAAAGAAGAAACCAGACAATAATACTGGAGAAGAGGCACTACTTTCGTACTCATTTGGTCGCGGATTCGCCAAAAACATCCGTTTCTTCAGCGTGTGGTTTGGTATCAGGTCTGCGGTTGTGAGGATTTGGTGAGTGGAATTAGTACTTGCAATCCGATTCGCTACTTGCACATTGGATGGGAGTTCCATCCATGTAGAAAGGATCCCCATCTTTTGGTAATTTTTTAGTATTTGTTTGTCGTGAAATAGCGCATAAACAGGCGTTCTCACAAAGGATTGAGTACCTACTCGAGTCCTGCATTTTGCGTTAGCGGAGGCTCATGGAATGAATTTGAAATCCGAATGCTACCGCTTGGTAAGAGGGGTCGTTTTTTGAGACAGGATTCCTTATTAGTGACCTTGACATGCAGGAATTGGAAAGGGAAAGAGCTCTGGAGGAAGTGTGAAAGGGTGGAAAGTGGGACTGGTTGGAAGGTCTGAATTGTATTTGGAAAGAACGACTCTTTCACGCATCGGTACCTACCTACTTGGGTACTTCAGATTGCTGGTAACTGTATGCTCTGAGTAGTAGAGTCGTCCCTAGGTATGTAACCATAACAGGCCGCTCGCTACATTGTGGGAAGAGAGATGGATGGGTTAGTCGTTTGAGGAGATGTCCTCGTAATTGACAGGACTAACTTACTCCAAGTATTGTCTTGTTGGAGCGCTATGGGTTGTTCTTTTGTCGTCTTGTTTTCTTGCGTATTCTGAAGCTTCAAATCCGTATTTCTATGCTGTTTTTTCTTTTCTTTCTTTTTGTTTCAGACATCTTCTTGTATTCCAGGTTTTCGGCTTCCTTGGTGTTCTTACCCAGGTAGTGTTCTTGCTTTGTACCGAGTAAGGTATGTAAGCGCAAAGAGTGACTACCTACTCTCCCTACCACCAAACTTCTTCGCCTCTTCTTACATTTCCTGATGATTACGGGTCTGAGCAAAGATTGTTTCCATATATATTCTCCAAAAGCCAGATTTATTGTTGCTGTTAACGCGGCAAAGATTGAGTCTTGTGGTAGGTAGGTAGGTCACAAGACGTTCATGCCTATCCGCTGACCTAAAGTTGAAACTAGAGAGTGTTCGTAGTGATATCATGGCCCATCTCTGTGGCATATATCACTAGAAAAGTACACTTCAAAAAGTGAGCCTACATAGGGTATTGTCTCTTTTTCTTGACATCCAAACCAAGGATGAGTTCTGAGGAGGGGACGTTGGAGATGTAGGATTTAAGGTTGGTGAGCGGAGGGATGGATGGTGGGGTTGAGGATGCGTATGCAAGAACCCTGAGCAGCTTCAGCGCTAGCCCAACCAGGATAGGCTGATTCTCCACAGTGAAACAATCAGGCGGGTGCTGGTGAGAGAAGCGTGGAGTGAGCACAAGCATGCCATGGCATTTCATCTGAACTCCTTCACGCGCCGGAACAAACATCACCATCACCATCCATCGACAGCAGCACTACCAACACCACACCACCTGCACACGCGCATTGCCTCCTCCTAATTATCTGCGAGGGTGGGCCCTTTTAGGGCAAGTGGTGCCCTTACAAAGGCAATGTATACCAGCCCAACAAATGCTGCACGCTGCATCCTCATGTTCATATTCATGTTCCTGGTGAAGGCTGGTTGCTGTGAGGACCACTGACTGAGAACCAAAGTAGAAAAACCAGCCCAACCACCACCACACGCCGAGCCACGCTGATACCACCATAGATTTGGACAGAAGAGATCTGCAGACGCCTCTAGAGACGGTCTTTTCCTGTGGATATAGAAACATATGCATCTCAGAGCTTGTGTGGGTGGTCAAGGTAGGTTCTTGGGCTGTTTCTGGACTTTTGCACCCAATTTCGGAATCCCCTCATCACTACCTCATTCGGACAGCAAACGACGTCAGCTGGCTCTGGCTGCCCTAGGCAACCGTTGCCTAATTAATTCACCGCCCGCAATTGCCTTGAGGCGCGGGGTAAATTAATCTTCGTGAGCTTCAAGTCCTCGACCTCGACATCGACCTCGTCCCATCCCACCTCGAGCAGGTCAACAACACCAACACCTTGCTGCGAACTCGCTCTTCATACCTCTAGCGTGCCTCTCATCATGGCGGATACTCAGGAGGAAGAGGCGACCCAGCCAGGTACGGTTCTTCTTCCCATTGCCCTTCCCAATGCCTCTCCACCTTGTCCTTCTCCCCCTCCCCGCGCACGTCGCACTTCTTTCTCTGCATCCTACAAGCAATGGCAGCAGCAACAAGCAGAATCTGATCCTTACTATGTAGCCACCCAAATCTACGACGATGATCGCCGCTATGATCAAGGCAACTCGGGTCTGAGCAACGAGGATGCCGCCGACATCATCTGTTGCCTCAATCCCATCACCCTGCCAGCCTACGAAGGCGTAGACGAGATCCATCGCCAAACCCCTGAACTGACAATGAAGAATGATAATGTGACTCATATGAGACAGAAGGGCGAGTCGGTGGAAGAAGCTTCTCAAGCTCAGAACAGAGGCTTGGTTGCCTGCTCTCTCGTCCTGCGCTTTTCTCACGAACCAAAAGAACCACTCCAAGGTTTCCAATTCGGTCGGAAGCTTGCCAGATGTGATTTCGTCTTCGCCAAAGGCAAAGGTCCAGCCAGACGAATCAGCAATGTCCATTTTCGCATCTACATCAACGAGTTTGGCTCGCTAATGATCGAGGATACATCGACCAACGGAACACTTGTCGACAGATATCTTCTTCGTTGCAAGGAGAAGGAGAACAACAAAATGTACAAACAAATACTTGAGGCAGGTCAGACTATTAGTTTCATCATGGAAAATGGTGAACCGAACATCACCTTTATGGTATGGGTTCCGAATCGGAACGATGAGGCCATGATGGCGTATGACGAGAACTTGGCAAAGCATCTTGCAAAGATCACCGCCCTCGAGGCCAGTCGAGCAGAAGCTATCCGTGCCGCTGAGAGAAAAGGACCTGTAAGATATCCTGAACCCTCAAACGCTCGTGCACTAACAAGTGAAAGGTCAATTTGTTCCCACAAGCAGGAGCCGCTACATCAGCTGCCTCTACGTCTGGGGTCTTGATGAAACGCCCCCTCGAATGGAAAGGTGGCAGAAAATATAACAAAGTTGGTGTCATTGGCAAAGGAGCGTTTGCGACCGTCTACAAGATCACCGCTCGATATGACGGCGAACCCTTCGCTGCCAAGGAGTTGGAAAAGAGAAAATTCATGAAGAATGGAATCTTAGATCACAAAGTGGACATGGAAATGAAGATTATGTCAAAGATTACACACGTAAGTCTCACACCTCCCGAGCCACTAGCTCTACTAACATGTACTAGTCAAACGTGGTTCAATTCCTTGAGTATGTTGATTATCATGAACACTTGTACATTATCATGGAGTATATTCCTCATGGTGATCTGGCAGGTCTCATCAACAAGAACGGAGCTTTGCCCGAACCTGACGTCAAGGACATCGCAATCCAACTTTTGGGCGCTCTTGACTACCTCCACAAAAATGGTATCACCCATCGAGATGTCAAGCCAGACAACATCCTGCTCTCTCAGCTCGACCCTCTCGTGGTCAAGCTGACAGATTTTGGCTTGTCAAAGATAGTCGAGACCGAGGAGACATTCATGAACACCTTCTGTGGAACATTGCTCTATTGTGCTCCTGAAGTGTATGCTGAGTTCGCCGAGTACGACGAGAACGGGATGCGTACTCTTCGAGGAGTATCTAGGAGACCAGCTAACAGGCAACGCTATGGTAACGCCGTCGACATTTGGTCGCTGGCAGGCGTGCTTTGGTTTGCCATTGCTCAAAGCCACCCATACCCGGCCGAAGGCAAGGTCCAGTACATAACCTTGTTGGGCGCAATCATGTCAACACCTCTCGACATCCGGCCACTGCAAAAAGCCGAAATCAGCGACAGTGGACTGGCTGCTATCAAATCCATGTTGCGCGTTCGACCAGAACATCGAGCAACTATTGCAGAGTTGCAACAGTGTTCTTGGATCACAGGCGTGGTAGACGAGGTGCCAATGACACAGGAAGAAAGTTTTGCTGATCTGCCGCCAGATGCAGAAGCATCTCAACAACTGTCCCAGCTAAGCATCCACCCTCGAGAAGTTCCCGATAGTGAGGAGTTCGACTTGGATGCCAATACGAGTGAAGTCACCGATATTCAAGTACCACAGCCACCACGAGAGATCCTCAGCAGCTTCAATGAAGAAAGTAATGGTGATCTTGCTCTTGAAGATAGCTATGGGTTTGAAAGAGAGGAACTGCCTACTTCTGATAACCAAGGTAACCAAGGCACCAATGGTCGCTTGTTTGGCGAAGTGAATATGTCGGACGTTGGCAGCTCAGGAGCCATCCCTTCAGACCAATTGAATTTGCCCATGAGTGAGCACGACTTTGACGCGTCATATCTCCCACAAGAAGACGCAAGTTTTGAACCAGCATCGTTCGCGAAAAGCTTTGGCAACCCCGACCAAGCACTCGACCCTGCCTTGCCTAACACGATGGTGCCCTTGCGCCTTCCTCGAATGCATCCCGACGACGCCTCGACAAACCACCTGCAGCCACCAGATCGAGGACATCGCGCAGAACGATCTTCCAGTTTGATGGGAACAGAAACCATGGTCGGCGCTCTGAACATGCAATCACCAGCATCTGCTGCCTCTCCTATGCCAGATACCCCAACCGCAGATGGCACGAACGGTGTCAGCTTGCGTCGCCCTCGCGAAGAAGATGACGATGACGATCCGGACAGCGATTGGCTCCCAGCGGACATGGAAAGACCAAGCAAGAAGCATAAGTCTGCGCGTGAGATAGTCATCGACGTCCCTCCAAGCATTTTTTGGGATCCTGCCGACCCTTCCACCCACCATGACAATTACCCTCGTATGGATACGACAAAATACCACGCACTCAGCAAATACGCAATGTCGAAGGGTGAGCTATTTGCGCCTGGCCAGAAGACATTCGAGACCACCATGGATAGCTTCCGCAGAAGCCGTAGCCGTAGCTCTTCTGTTGAGCCAACGCGAGCCCATTCGGAGCCTACGACTGCGGACGAGGGTAGACGATTCATGCTGAGACGCGATGAGCGAGTTTTAGGTGCAGGATTTGTCGGAACAAAAAATGAGGATTTGTCAGAGACAGCCAATGCTTCGAGCATCGCACATAGCTATATTCCAGCTCCCTCAGAATCACCGGCACATCCAGTCGTTGGCAATGACTTCCAACCCCCAAAGCGCATTCTAGCGAAATTATTTGGAACTCCTGATAGCTCATTGCCCACAGTCAACATCAACATCACCGATGGCGTCACGAGCTGGGGTAGAGGTCCTCACACTACCCTCAAATATTCAAATGGCAAGGATGTTCGTATTCCGCGTTATGCCTTCAAGATTATTCTCTTCAAGCCAAAATTCTACGGTAAAAACACCAAGGATGTTGAGCTCTGGAAGGATGAAAATCAAGACATGGCGTTCTATATTTCCACCAAGGCAACCATGGGCATTTTGGTCAATGAAACCCGAATCCAAAGTTACGATTCTCAAAATTACAAGACCGCATCAAGATACTGGGCTGAGCTTCGGCAGGGTGACATGATCACAGTCAACGAACACCAGCAGGGTATCATCAAATTCAGATTCGAGTGCTTCTTTGGCAAGTCCAAGCAACGTCGACACGCCGCCGAGGGAGTCGAAGTCATGTCAAAAGATTTGACCTTCTTGGCTGATATTGAGGAAGCAACTCTTCGACAGGAGAACGCCGTCTTGCTTGATCGAGAGCTTCGAGAGATTCAGGAAGAGAAAATCAAAAAGGCTGAAAAGGAAGAGGAAAAGCGCAAGTTGGCTGAGCGACAGCAAGCCGAGAAGCCAACTCAACTGACTGTGCAAACCCGACAACCACAATCAGCCGAGCAAAAGCAAACCGTAGGCGTGTACGGCGGTGGTGACCTGTCATATAGTCGTCTTTTTGACGGCTATTGACTTCGTGCTCTCGTTTGACTACTTCGTTTTGTTTTTTTCCCGGACGAGAAAACATGATGAATTACGATACAACACACAATTTACTGTACAATATTCTCCTTTTTTTCCTACCTTGTTGTTTGTCATACCAAAACATCACACACACAGCGGGGCTTTTACAGAGCGGACATTTGCACATTTGAACCTTGGTTTCAGTTTCTTTCCTCGGATGGAATGGAAACTTTCATGGATGGATGGCCAAAATTTGCATTCTCGTTTGCTTTGGGTCATAGTGCATGATACATGAGGATCTATGCTTGTCTCTCTATTTCTTTTGTAATTGATGGTGGAGTTTGAGAGACATTATCTTGTTGACAAGATGATTTCTCTTTTCTGAACTGAACAGTTGTTTTACCGAGCATGCTGGGAAAGGCGTGTGATGGAGACTTCGTTCATGGGAAAGATGTATGTTGAGAAAGTGCGCGAACTGGAACGAATTGAAGGAATTGAGTCCACTCAGATTGTTACGTAGCATAGCTAAATTCAATACAATGAGAAATTATAATCATGGTGCGGTGTCTTCTTTACTTGGTGATGATGTTGATGCGGGGTTACATCCATTACTTGTAGCAATGTATCATTCCTCTGTTCGTCTTTGGGATTTGAGGCACTAAGCTAGGGTTTGAAGGTGCGTCTTCTCAACCTCTTCTCTTCACATTTGTTGCTATTACTTCTTGTTAGAAACTTTTCTCCGGCAGCTGCTGAAAATTGCTATCGAGAATAAGTACACTACTACTTACATTAAATAAACGGGGTCTACCTGGCCTCTCCTAACGTGTAAACGCGGTCTCAGCATAAACGCACGCTTAGGCAATGGCAGCGGGGGTTTCCAAGGGTTGTGGAGTGGTTGTTGTTGTTAGTAGTCTTTGCGATTTTTGGTAATACTCTGAGGTATGTTGGGTGTTGTGTTTTGTGTTGTTGTTGTTGTTGTTGTTGTTGTTGTTGTTGTTGGTGGTGTTGGTGATTTGTGAGAGGGTGGTGAAGATCTGGTTCTTGCCTTGGTGGTTGGGTTCCTTGGTGGTTTGAGGAGTAGTTGGAGGGAGAGAGAAGGGGGTGAGAAAATGTGTGCGAAATAGGAGAGAATGGTGTGAGAGGATGGGTAGGTTTGAGTTTAGTATCTATTCTATGGCTCGATTGCTTTTCGGGTCATCCACACTGGGGATACTTTCGAGGTTGGAAGGGTGGATTGTGGTAATGAGGGCTTCGCTGATGAATTGAGTCACTTTTCTTAATTCGGGAGAGTGGGATTTCTCTCCGGTGTCTTTGAAGGGTTGTGAGGTCCTTGATGAGTAGCAGTTGGGTGACTGGCTGGGTTGTAGTGATTGAATAGGCGGGCGTTGGTCTGGGACTGGGTGTCAAACTACTGTGGGAGGGTTGGTATTGAGATGAAGGTGTGCAGAGCAACGTCTGCATTTTCTCACATTAGGTCGAGATGTGTTCTTTCTTTTCGCTTACTGCTTTCTTCTTAATTAGTAGTGGAGCCTTAGAGAGCATGAGTTGGGAGTCCTTTACATCCATTGAGCTCCTGGCCCCCCGCTGGCTTCAGACCCGTCACGTGCCCGTCTACTTCGAGAAGTACTGTACAGTAGTGTAGTTTGCTGGTTTGTGATGACATATTGTGTGATGCGACGTGAGACTTGCGAAGCGAGTTCGAATGAACTAGTCGAGTGATGGGAAGAATGGATGCAATTGGTGAGGTCGCTAGTGCCACTCTATCTGAATCCGACGTTTGACACAACGGCTCGGAATCCTGAAGTTTATTCCTACTAAGGATAATACATGGGAGGGGGGCAGTTGAGTAGCAGAATTACAGAATTTTTGAGTCACTTGCTGGGTAGAAAACATCTCTCTACGGGTCCCAGGGCAGGAAGTCCGATCATGAGAAGCTACTCTCATCATAATAATCTACAGTCGAGTCCCATTATACGGCTTCGTCAAAAAGGTTAAACGAAGTGGCCCTTTGAAACCCAGCTCAAATACATAGAAGCTCAACTCACTTACAGCGCAATCTTCTGACTAGAAACTTCTACTAAATAGCGGTTCTTTGAAGGCCGAGGGTCTTGACAAAACAATCCCTCTTTTCATCTGAAAATACACCTTTCCGGAAATATCGCGGGGACTGTATAGTACTGTACCAGTACGCATAAGAGGAAGGACTTCTCGCCACTCAGATCCCACAGAAAACTTTTATTTTTATATATTCGAGCACCTAGTGCTATCCACTATCAGTACAGTACTGTACTCACCCCTCAGAATTGTCTTTGGAACCGATTTACCACGGTACTCCTTGAAAGGGTACATCTCTTCAGGCTCAAATACTCAATATGCTCGCTCTCGTTCTGCTTCATTGTTTTGTCTCCTTCTCGTCTATATAGACAGGATTCCACGTCTACCTATTTCGATCTCCCTACTACGAAATGCCCCTTTCTCCATCCCCTTCTCTAATAAAAACATCCGACTCAAGCCAAAGCCTAATCGTACTTAAAAATCATGCTACCACAGTACTCCTACAATACTCTTCCATTCCTCCGATAACGGTACTTACTATGGCACATAGCATGAAGCACACACAACGAGCATTCCCCAGCGCGCCGTCCAAGCTCGGTTACGAAAGATCAGATGAGGGCCGTGATGGAGGCGAAAGGTTACAAAATAAGGGGTCTGGCTCGATGCCTTGAGCTTGGATCGTTTCGGGTGGCTTCGTCTCTCTCGCGGTCTGTGTTTCTGAATTGTTGCCCTGCTCTGCTTTTTCTCGAGAATTGTCTTTGAGAGATGGGCTGTGAATGAGTGGATGTGTAAGCTTACAAGTACTTTACTTGATCTATTGTTTCTACGCTACTAGCTCTCGAGGACGTCTTTGTTTATGTCCTTTTGGAAATCCTCTATTGAACAATCTTTCTTTCCTGGGACCTGGATACTTTTGTATCCTGAACTCACACACCTGAGACCTCGAAATTCCACTTCCCAGAACCACCACCAAATTTCCAGGTTTTCCAACCACCCTTCTACTCGTACCATACCACAAATCTCCTCAACAACCTAAAAAAATGGACGTAACACCAATAGTCATCGGCTGCATCTTCCTCTTCTTCTTCATCATCGGCGTCTGTTCTCTCGTGAATATCGCCATGAAACCGGATCCCTTTGCGGATTCCCAGAGGGTGATGGGGGTATGAGTGCATGATGGAGCGGGAAGAAAATGAGTTTGTAGATGAGAGATAGTTTGGGTTTGGTGATGGGAATATGGATGGTGTGTGGTAAAGAAAATGTTGGTCGTGAAGAGGGAATGGCGCGAAGCCGATATGGCAAGAATTAGATGGAGAAGCTTACTTGAAGGTGCGGAAGTAAACGGGGGATTAAGAAGGAATTCCCCCCTTCTGAGACGATAACGAGAGCTACGGGCTTCAGATTCTCGTAAGTGTAAGCTTTTCTTGGTCATAACCTGTTCCCTCTCGTTCTTTCTACGACTTCTCGGATTACATTATACTAACAGAGCATCGAACAGATTCATGAAAGATACCCTGAGAATTTCTTCTATCCTCCATCGTGTATACAAAAGAGAACCCGAGTCTGAGGAGAGGTGGATGTCAGGTTGGACATGGGCTACTTGGGTCGCACCTTCCCTTGCGTCGAGTCGTGGGTCTAGACCAAACATCCAAAGAAGAAGAGCAACTTTAAGTTCGATCCCATGATGTGTCACTAGCCAGTGAGTCAAGACCGATTCGTTGATAGAAGGAGGGAAAGAGCAACCCTGGTCTCGGCTGGTCTCGGTTCAACCCTCACCAGAGAGCAACTTTCGCTGGCTACTATCCTAAACCCGATCGCCAGACTTCGGAAAAAAGGGAGGGCAGGTTGATACACAGTATCTATCATTCTACTGTATGCGAATATAGAAACTTGGAATGGTGTAAGTGGTTACAGATTATATATTGTTTTTCTTCTTTTCCATATATTATTAGATTGGCGCCAACCATTCGACAAGGTTTCCTCCCATATTTTCAATACAAGACGTCCATTATTTAATTACAAATCCCTTCCTCGCCCACTTGTCGACATCATCCGCTGTTTGTCCGTACAAGATATGACCCCCATATATATTACCTTGATCCTCGATCAAGTGCGAATCCGTTCCCATTTCCCATTGTCTGGAAATCTTCATCCTTGTCACTCCAAGTTTCCGTAACAACGATTTTCTTGAGGGCTTTTGGCGAGGTATGCTGCAATCAGCCCATAATATGGCTCTCAAACTCAACGGCCTCGAGGTATCCCTCGCGTATGATTTTCGGACTGACGACTCGAGGTGTTCTGTATGTCACTAAAACCTCGTTCGACGATTTGCAAATTATAAGTCCCGCCGATGCAGAATGGACTCCTTCTGGTGGTGGCATTTCGCGCAATTCTTCGGAATTGCGGACGCAGTCGGTCAATGAACCATCCCCTATTCATAGGTTTCTCCTTCCGTTGCTTCTTTTCAAGGATTGTAGAAGGTCTTGTGTCTCGGCTCCTCGCCCACCCCCATTCTTTCGTCTCTAATCTCAGTCATCGCAAATAAGGCAGGCAATGGCGAAATAGGCAGTGGCCACTCCTTGTCACTTCCCGCCTCCCCTCTTGGACTCAACATTTCCTGTCCCACCGGCTCAAGAGCCGGTAATTCAGCGGGTGGAATGACCTCTGTGTTATCCATCTCCCTCACAGGTATACACTCGCTATGCAATTGTGCCTTCCCTCCATTGTCGTCTACTGGCGGGGGGGCCATTGTTGTGTTGGTACCGGCAGACTCGGTGTCATCTTCCTTTACCTCCTTGGGTGCGAGGTTTCCAAATTCCCATTCATCTTCTCGTCGTTGCTTTCGGCGTGTACAGTATATTACGACGAAGACAGTAGAAAGGCCCAAGATGGAGCCAATCACTGGTCCTGCGATCCAGGAATGGTTCAATTCGGGACCGGGGCCTGCTTGCGCTGTCTCGCTTGAGGGGGACGATGTGCTCGTGAAAGACGCCGTCGCTTCTGGTTGCGCTACTGCCGTAGATGCTATCAGAGAATCTGGAGCTTGAGTAGCAGCCGGAGCAGTTGTGATCGTTGCCGTTGCTGTAACTTGGGTAACATCCCACGAGGAGATCCGAGCTACTTGTGATGCGATTGCGGAAACTTGTGCTGAGCCGTTGCTTTTCTCACAACGACTGATCTGAGCCGATAGCGTATTTTGAAAGTCGGATAACCGTGGTAAGCTGCCATTCTGAATCGCGTATATTGCAATACATGATTGACATGCCCCACAGTTGGTGAGGAACGGGGAAGCTATTTCACAGGAGGTCGCCGGGTCAAAGGCAACCATATTAGAGAAACATGCAGCTGAAAGGGAATTAGCTGAAGGTTCCACGACGACTACAGTCCCAAGCTCCGGGTTTAACACTTAGAAGCCTGGATGGAAAGGGTATTCTTACGACAGTCTGGTTGACAATAACTGTCAGGCAGTACAGTAATGGTTTGCCGCAATGCCAGTGCAGCCGCGATGAATCGAGGCAACAGCATTATTCGCGCGGTCTCACGATGTTGAAAACCCGAACTTACAAGCCCGATGTCTTAGAGAGAACGCCAGCAAGACGGATGAGGAGGGACATGATTTTGGGGGAGGAGGAGGAGGCTGAAAAGAAAACGCTCGCGGGGAGTGCCACTAGAAAAGAGAAGCTGGGACGTGCGATTCGTTTCGAGGGATTTGAGGGTCAACTAGACGGTTTGAAGCAGTGGATACAAGTGATCGACTCCTCCCTCATGCGTCGAATTTGGTTGACGTGCTCCAGCTTGTCTGGCAAGCCGGTCTGGGCAGTACTCGTATAAGAGCCCGAAACAGCATGGTCGGAAACAGGAGCAAGAGGACTGCAATTATCATGGATTGAAGAGGATGAGGTCGCCGAAAAGCGTGGCTAACCGGGATAGTCATTGGCTATTGGCGCCCAGCTGGAAGAGTCTTGGACTGCATTCTGCGAGGGGGGCATGCGGGGGGCACCTTTTCCGCTGGGACCATTGGATGAGGAGGATGGGATGACAAGGGAACACAAGCAATATCAAGCAGCGCATGGAAGTGGGATTTACACCCTGGGCCAAGAGTGTATCGACTGATTTCAATGGTGGTTTTGAATCCAGAGCAACTAAAAATAATAATAAACTTGGTGGTAATAATCAGAAACTTATATTGTTAAAGTCTTCGGTCCAAGAGTCCAAAGAGGAGGAATGAAAAGGCCAGTGTAATCTTACCTAGTACAGGGACGACAGCTAACAGCCAGGCTGCGACCTATCTGTCTTCCATTGCAGGTGGTCTTTCGGTGTTCCGTGAGTGTGGCACAATCCAGAAAGAAGTTGAGAGGGAGAGGTTGCCTTGGCTTGGGTTGACAGGAATCGTCTGATCAACACCCGATGTTGACCCGCGAAGAAGTACACTCGCTTTAGGCCCAAACGGGGGGTGGATCCTGACCTCGGCAGCTTAATTGTTACTGTACCACCAACTTGGTTAGCAGCTGTTTAGGGTTCGATACGACCGGGTAGAATGGTTGAGTTTAGGTGAACTCGTGGGGGTTCTTGCTATATCTGAATATGATTTCCTCTGGGTGTCTCATTCTCCCATAGCAGACTCTTTGTTAACCTGTTGCTGATACAGTAGGTACAGTAGGTACAGTAGATGAGCACAAAAATATCTTTTAGTTCAACGTCAAGAGAAGGATACTTGGCAATTGATAATGCTGACCTACCTATCCCACCTCCCATATCATCCCTGGATTGCATGATATTGAGCTGGGATCGCATTGATGCTCGTCACCCTGTCCTTGACACCAGCTGCGGGAGCTCCCTCGCCGCTTCCTCACTGGTGGGTTCCTCCACTCTACCCCTCTACCCTCCCCTCCCCTTGCTTACCCTTTCCTGCGCTTTCCCTTTCCAAAAAATACGACGCCACGAAAAGATCTTCACTCTTCCGTCGCCCACCATCGTTCAACGGCAGGTTTTGGGCGTTCTCATCAATGCTTGGTAGCCATGACCATCCGAACTATTCCTATTCTATCTTCACATATAGGATGGCTGGAATATCTCAAGATGAGAGTGTGCTCTTCAATTCAAACTGATGGTGTATAAAGGGAGCTCAAATAGCCTTGTAGGGTGAGAATCCTACTGTACGGCTGTACCCGTAAATAACAATTTTACACCTCCACTCGCAAATCCCATTTTCGTAAGCTTCTCGCCCAAATCCTGACTTGGCAGCCCTAAATCTCAATAAACACTACGTGCTGAAATTCTTTCCAACCCTTTTCAGGTTTGCTGACGATCTGGGCTTCCGACGATCTGATATCGACTTTGGGACCTCGGTGTGTTGTTCACAAAATCGTGACGAACGATGTGACCAAGTCCGAGACATTGCTTTGTCTGAGCGAATGTCACTATTCCCCATCGTACAAGAACCCAATCGTTGCCCTCAAAACCTCGTCCGGCCCCGCATTATTTCTTCCCTAGGGCAATCGTTCACTGCCACGCCAAAGAGGGAGGCAGATTGTCCGTGTTGATCGATTTATTTCAAATCTTTTGACGTTGCGGCCCCCAAATCTGAGCGTTTGCTGGGTTTTAAATCGCTGCCTAGAGGGTTGCAAGCATGCCAAGTTAATCGGATCATCATTGACTAGCATTGATGCTCGATATTGTTCTCATGATCAAAGACGATCGTTCTCGAGAATTCATCGATATTTCTTGGTTATCAAATATTTTCTGCTTTCTTTTTCCACTGATCCAGAAAGCTGGAACCACCCCCTCGGTTCAACGCGGATGTCTGTCCCTGTATATTTCTTTTTCTAAATGGCGGAACAGTTTCATTATTACATTTGGTGCTGTAGCAGTTGAGCCTTGTAACCCAATACATGGTCGTTGGAAACGCTTTGCCCTCTCTACATCCCATCTCATCTTCGCATAATTTTCAGTTGTATGTGTTCATCGCAAGGCACAAGGGCGGGCGGAGGAACGTTGAGTATGGCAGGGCAACCCCGAGGGCTTGCATCGCATTGATGGCAAGGCGATCTGGAAACTTTGTTTCAGCTGCGAGTATTGCGCGTTCCTGCGTCGTGGTATTGTCGGAGTAAATGATTTCGCGCTGAATATCCATACTTTGGAGAGGCGTTTATGTCGTTCACGCCATGTTTAGCGAACCAGTCCATATCCGTGATGTTCCAGAGGGAGTCATAACTTGTACTTGTTAAAATATTGATTGAAATTCGTTGGTAACTTATAATTGGAATATAAATGTCAAAATAATGTACTACTGTCTACCAACCTGAGAAGAGGTTCGGTCAAGTAACGGACGAGATATTCTCCTAAATTTCTAATCGAGCCGAGACCTCACTAATTTCGATGGGATCGATGCTTGCTATTTCCCCTAAATTACCTTCTCCCTGTCCACTGGCTTGCTTTGATGTACTCTGCATATTCTATGGCACTTGTCACAGTAGCTGTCTAACTTCTCGTTTGCCGAACTAACCTTGCTTTTATTAAAGCTTAATAAAGGGGCCTGGGGGCTCGTCGTGATGATTGAGAAAAATCCCGTTCGTGAATCAATGGTATTGCGTCAGAAAGGCATGCCGAAAACTCTATGTAGACCTCGAGATAGACCTCGCTGAACGTGTGTCATTCTTGCCTACTCTATGAAAGGTCCTTTCATACCACTTCTTCTGTCCTACTCGCTCCAGGCCTCAGGTGATTTCTCATACTTTAGAGGACATCCTAGTTTTTACTCCCGAGGTTCTCGGAGATGACTTCTTGTAAGCACAATCTATAAAGATTCCCGCGTATCGATTCTATTTTCCAACCAATGGTGGTCAAGCAAATAAACATTATTGTGTTTTGGGGAGCTGGAGAGCTGGAGAGCTGAACCCTTGATCAACTTCCGTGCTGCTCTGCGACTTACCCGTCTACGATACGTAGCCTTCGATGAAAACCAATCATTCTCCCTTCCCATGCTATACTAAGTTCTTTTTGCTTTCTACTATGTAGCTAAAAGGGTATTTAGAAAGGTTGTAGGAATTCAAAGCTATATCCAGCTCATAATTAGGGCTTATCGACTTGATTTGTGTTCATCCGAGTTCATTTGTTTGGAAAACACGAACAAAGAGCTCTGATACCTTGTTTTGACAGGCGGGTTCCTTGCACTGCGTGTGTGAATGTAATGGAAAGTCGAATTGATCTCTTTCCCAGTTGGGTAGAGTGTTTTCAGGGACGGGAGTTAGTGATTTAGTAGTAGTTCAAATGAAATGATAGTAAGAATTTTGGTTATGGTGTACTAGCGATGAGAGGGAGAACGAGGGTGACGGCATGCTACAAACTAATCAAACATTCCATGGGATCCAGTCTATTCATCTTATTGTTAGAATCATAGTTTGGTGTTATATAGAGCGTCAAATGGAAGAAGAACGAAATTAATTCTCCTAGTAGGATTTGTCTATAGTTTATTAAGTGTTCTTTTCAACTCCTTCCTTTTAATCAAAGGGGGGGAGGGGAGCCCATTTAAGTTCGCCACTTTAATTAATCTACCTGTATTTAGTCAAGAAAAAAAGTAGATACTAGCGTAAGGGATAATTAGAGTAGAGTAATATATAAATATCTCAAAGTAGGTTAGCCTAATTACAAGCTCTAATTACTAAGGATAAATCAAGGGATACCGTTGTAATATAAAAAGAATAATACAGAGAGAGAAGCTAGCTAGGGGTAAACGTGGCGGCTCTAATAGATAAGCTAGCGTGTAGCGCTAGGTAGGAGAGCTAGGAGCGCTTATACTATAAGAATTACTACTAGTTGTGACGGTTATGGTCACGAGGGCTGGATGTCACATGCTCGCTTAGCGAGGCGCTAGCGCGCACGACCTGTATTTAGTTCCCAGCTCACTAGAGCTCTCCTTCTTTCCTCGTCTTTTGTCCTAAGAATAGAGTGTTAATTGTTCTGAGTTCTACCTGAAGCACGTCTGTCACAATTATAAGACTTTATTTTACTAATTTTTCTAATATTTAAAAATATTATAAGAATATTAATATAGGTTATATTTTTAAACTAGTGGTTTACGATACTTATCTTTATGATCCTAATTATTTTCGATTTTTAAAGTATTTTTAAAATGCTAATATACTTTAGATTATGTTAAGAACTTATTATTTCTAATATTTATACATATAAGTTAGTTCCTTTAACCTTTTAAAAAATTATAAAAAATAATAATATAGCTTAGATTATATGATAAACTAAGTATTCTTTAAATTTTTATATATAATTTAATTACTTTAGCTTTTTAGTATAATATTTATTTTAAAATCCAATAATATAAGTACTTTTTAAGTAGCTAAATAGTTTGTTTTTATAATAGAAAATACTACTTTACTTAGTTTCTATATAAATTAGTTTCAGAGTCTCATTTTAAGATAAGTTTCTTCTTTCTTAGTATAGCTAGTAGAAAACCTTGATTATAATTCACGTTTCTTATAATAGTAACACATATACGGGAATACGAGGTAGTAAAACAATTTAATTATTACTTCGCGTCTCTTAAACCTTCGTAGAGACTAATTCATCCCTCTATAAATCGTAGTATAGCCGACATTGTTACCTCCTTCCATGCTGTAAATCCTCAAGAAAACTCGCTCGATTTCGCTCTTCGAATAAACTTCGACACACTGATCTGTATTAGTAGATGTATATTTACGGGGCGGTACACGTCTGTAACGAATACTCAAACTGGCTAACTAAACTTGGCTGGGTGTTCGCTGGTTGGTATTCTATGATAAGAAGAAGACTATCGGGTTGTTCACTTGGAAGTGAACTCGTTACTTTGTATCAAAGATGTCAAACTAATATGATAAGATTGATAACTAAGTTGAGCACGAAGCTCCTATCTAATGGCAGACGTGCCACTCTTATATAGAACCTTCGTTCTCTGATTGATCGCTCTAGTCGCTCGCCCTGATCGCTTCAGTTGACAGGCGACTCAGGCGACTAGATCACGTGATTTTCCTAACCAGAAGAAATCCCTGGATCGCTTAGCTAGTCTAATTGATCCCTTTTTGCTATAAGTCCATGGATGTGCTTAACCTGTCAGGACGCCGCCTGGTCTTCCTTTGTCACATGCATTGCTACACGTGATTCGTGACAACGTCCTAACTTACAACAGGAAGTGGAGGAGTATCGCTCGCGTTGTTTTTGACCGTAATTGTCGTGACCTAAGACTGCTCCCTAGCGGATTCTGACTTCGAAACCTTTCCCGATGGCTGAGAATTTTGAGTGGAGTTTCTGTCTGGGTGGGCATTGTTTTGGTGGACATGAGAATTGGCAAGAAGCTGATTGATGTGTGCCAATTCATCCCCAGCTTTGTGCATCTTCAAGGTCTTTACATCAAGAGTTCTTCTCAACTGGACAATTTCGGACTGAAGGATCGGTAGATGAGAGATCAACTCTGACTTGCGTGCTTGAAGCTGGCAGATTTTCGCTTGCATTCGATCTACTATGGTCGGTGGTACGCCTGAGACGGTTGATTGAGAGGAGGATTGTCGTTGGGCATCTCTGGTCAGGCTGTTTGAGGACTCTTGAGGATTTCCGCGGTTCGAAGGCAGAAGTTTGTCGAGTTCTTGCTTGAAACGCAACATCTCCGCCTTGCGCTTCAGGAATAATGTACGTCGTGTTTCCTTTCGCTTCAACAAGGGTTGTAGTTGGAACTTTCCGGCTGAGCTGCTCGAGGGTGGGTGTTCAGGGATTGAGGACAGAGCTTGGTCTCTCTCTCTTTGTTCCTTGAGAGCCAACATTTCCGCTCTGCGCTTCTGCCACTTTGCTTGCTTTTCCCGTCGGCTCATTGGAGCTTGTTCAATCTCTTTCAATGTGTCTTTTTGCTTGTCTTGGTTGGTCGTCTCCATGATTGTTGTCTGTGAGCCAGAGCTGCCGACTTGTGTTGTGGTGGAGTCTGCAGACAAAACCCTAGATGGTGCCATGGTCTTGTTGATGTCCACTGTCGGCGTCGGTCGCGTTCGTTAAGAGAGTCGCGTTGAGCCAAAGAGTAGAACTGTAAAGTCACAGGTCCAGATCGGACTCTTAAAGCAGCGTGACTCTCGCTAATTGATGTTTTCTTTCTTCTCGCATTCACCTTCAAACCTTTGAACTCTTTACTTGTACTCACACTACCTTCACGTTGTTTTCAATATCCAAACTCTTAGTTGATACGTTGGTAAGTTACTCTCCATTTGAAAACCACCCCGTGTTTTAGATTTGGAGCTTTCCTCAACTCTCAATGTAGCACAGAGCCTCTGACAAGGTCCAGTATCTAGCACCTCACATCAAAGCGAATGGATAGCTTCAACGACCAAACCAAGATGCAGGAAACAGACACCTCTTTTCATCATCCAAACGCCATGGAAATCGATTCTTTCAACGCAAATCTTCTATCAACTGACCTCCCTGTAGATGGCTCTTCATTCCCTGTCCCCTGTGCACATTCTGGCACCTCAAAGGAACCCACCAAGGCAATTGAACGTCAGCTTGATGCTCTCTCCATTGGAACTCCCCACCCAGCTTCTTCCATCAACTTGGTTGAATCCTTGAATACAAATTCACCCCCACCACAAGATTGGCTTGAGGTGGAAAATTGGATCAGTCATTGAAAAGGCATACAAAAAGCTCGAACGGCATGATCATCTGCACGGAGAATTTATAAAGGAGTCATCCTCTTCTCATTGCCCACCGAATACCGACCCTGGACAGGTAGCCCATATGCAGGCTGTGGAAAAAGGAGGCTATGAAATATATCGGGAATACGCGCAATCAAACAGAGAACTCCGCGCCGAAATACTCTCCCTATTACCTGTCTGGCGGTCCATACAAGAGAGACGCATCAATCTGGGTCTTGATAGACAAGAAGTGTTGAGCAAGCTAGTAGAGAGGTATTTTGGGCGGGAGGCTTTCGATATGCATAACGGTCTCATCAACCCGGATTCCCCTACTGCTACACACACGAAGCTGACAGTTGTCGGCGCGGCGAGAGAAATCCAAGAATTGGAAGATTCAGCTATGAGAATGTTCCAACATTGAAGGTTTGTTTCCCTTCTTGCTGCAGTTAGTCCCTCAGCTAGTGTCAAAAACTAACTCTTTCAAGTTACTCAAAGTTGCGGTCCGAGACTCTATCTTTCCTCCCCCCCAAAGATAATACTTGACTCCCGGTCATTTCCAGCAATCACTCGGAATCAACGCCGTTGCGTGATTGTCGCTACGTGAGCGGCATTGTGACGGTCGGGAGGGATACTGGTTGTGGTAGGAAAAGATTGGTGGAACTTGGAACCCGCATTCGTAAACTTCGGTAGACCGAGAATAGCACCAAATTGAGGTTATTATCAAGCATACCAATAAGACATTGAAACACAATCGCATCAAATTTTGGTATACTGTTTGTTTTCCTGTCCAGCACTTTACGTGGAATCAAGCTTCCGAACCCTGCCGAAGTGTCGGGAAAAAGCCCGACGAAAACAAGATGTGTGATTGGCTTGATCCAACCAGACACCGCAATTAATGCTGAACCCCCTACACCGGTCATGCTTTCCTGGCAATTTTCATGACCCGATCCGATTTCTTCGACACGCTAACTAGTTATGTACTTAGCTACTTCCTGCCCTGTTTCTTGAACATCTCGAGGTCAAGTCCAACCAGTGAAAGCTGTTTCCACTGGGGAGCTCTTTCCCCAATTTCCCCAGCCTCCAGTGTTGTTATGGGGAAACACAAATGGAGGGGTACAAGATGGAGTCAATGTATGACCCCGTAGACCCCATCTTTCTCCGCGATGCTCCAGAAATTCCAGCAGCAGAGGGAAACCAAACGAGTATATAGAGCGCATAATCCCCTCTCTGTTTCTTCTCGCTTCCGTCCCCATTTTCCATTGCCAATCTGTGTAGATTCCTATAATAATGGCGCCTATAAACAATGAAGCAGGCAATTCCGTTGAGGTGGAGAATCAAATGGCTCCAGCTGCCATCGATCCACCAGAAAAAATCAACACTTCCCTTATACAGAATCCGTATCTACTTGGAGTTGCGTGTGTATGTACTCAAAAGGCCTTTTCAAGCCCCAATAACTAATCTGCATAGTTTGCATCCCTTGGAGGTCTGCTCTTCGGTTATGATCAAGGTGTCGTGTCCGGTATTTTGACAATGGAAAGTTTCGGTGCTGCATTTCCAAAGATATTTTTGAACCCCGGTTTCAAAGGCTGGTTTGTTTCTACCATCTTACTGAGTGTGTACTGGTATTCATCTTTGAATGAGATACATATCTAATTGTTTCTAGCCGCTTGGTTTGGGTCACTCGTCAATGGCCCTCTGGCTGATAAACTTGGCCGGAAAAAGAACATGATCTTAGCCGTTATCATCTTCGTTGCTGGTTCGGCAGTTCAAGCTGGGGCTGTTAATATTGAAATGCTGTTTGCAAGTAATTTCTTGTTCTTTAGGAAGGGGCTCTATTAACTTTAGACAGGTTGGCCGTGCCGTCGCTGGATTTGCCGTAGGAATGTTGACGATGGTGATCCCTCTTTATATTTCAGAGGTATCTCAACCAGAGATTCGTGGCGCTCTTGTCGTATTGCAACAACGTGGGTTAACTCTGGAGTATACAAACATTCGACATACTTACAATATACAGTCTCCATCACGACTGGTATTTTAGTCTCCTACTGGATAGATTATGGTACCCACTACATCGGTGGAAGCAGATGCGCACCTGAAATTCCGTACTCTGGCGGCACTTTGACTTCCCCATCATTTGATCCATATAATGATGTGGGATCCACTGGATGTACTGGTCAATCGGATGCTTCATGGAGAATTCCATTCGCCCTTCAAATTCTCCCAGCCATAATTCTCGGTAACGGCATGATATTCTACCCAGACTCTCCAAGATGGTTGATGATGCAGGAAAAGGATGAGCAAGCTATTAGAGTCTTGTCGAAACTCAGAAGACTTTCTCCAGATCATCCCAAGCTTGTTGCTGAAGTCTTGGAAATAAGGGCCTCTATTCTTCTCGAAAATGCTTTTGTAAAGGACCACTACGCTGGTTTGGCTGGCTTCAAGCTCCATGTCGCCCAATATATGTCTCTCGTCAACAACAAGGCAAGATTCTGGAGATTATCGGTTGGATGCTGCATAATGTTCTTCCAGCAATTTATCGGATGTAATGCCATGATTTACTACGCTCCAACTATCTTTGCTCAATTAGGACTCAGCGGAAACACCCCTTCGCTCTTAGCAACGGGTGTTTACGGCATCGTCAACACATTGGCCACAGTTCCAGCTGTACTTTTCATCGATAGAGTAGGCCGAAAGCCGCTTCTCATGAGTGGAGCAGCCGGAACTTGTATCTCCCTCGTCATTGTCGGTGCAATCATCGCCGTTTATGGAGATACTCTTCCACAACACAAAGCAGCTGGTTGGGTCGGAATTGCTTTCATCTACATTTATGACATCAATTTCTCGTACTCCTTCGGTAAATTCCCCTCCTCAAGTTACACTAATATATATTCTAATGTCATCTAGGTCCTATCGGATGGGTTCTCCCATCTGAGATATTTACCCTCGCCATTCGCAGTAAAGCGATCTCAATTACTACTTCAACTACATGGATGTGCAATTTCATCATTGGACTTGTGACACCTGATATGTTGGCCACGATTGGATGGGGAACCTATATCTTCTTTGCTGCATTTGCACTCCTGGCCTTCGGATTTACATATTTCTTCGTTCCAGAAACTAGAGGAAAGGTATGTTCTCACCGCTTGTGTCAATACATAAGACATGATGCTAATAGTTTCATTTTATAGACTCTTGAAGATATGGATTTGGTGTTTGGTGACACTGCCGCTCACGAGGAAAAGACGAGAATCATGCAGATCGAGGCTCAACTTCGTGGGGTACAAGTTGATGGGTCTAATCCAGAGAAGTTGATAACTGCTTGGAGTCATAGTGAGGTTTAAGGGCTGGTAATGATATAATGAATTATGTCCAGGATTAAGTAGACTTATATATTCGGGTCTATAGAAAACATGAGTCATCTTTTCAGCACGCTCTCCTTGCACTAGCTGTCAGAAGGGCAATAGCATCTTATGTTCGGTACATATTTACTCTTTTTGACCAGTTCAATATCGAACGCCACCAAAACACCAAAACAAGAAAACTTAGCAGAGGCTCGGGCACACTCCGACCAGATATATCTGGAAAACAAGGCTGAAAACTGTAAGAACAATTTCTACTGCGTGATGGATTGTCACGGCTACGCATTTCCATTTAGATTTACTGCTCCTGGTGGCTCCTTCAGAGAATGTTGAATCTGAGGTGAAAGGGGTTTGCCGGTTTCAAATCTCAAGTCTTGGAGATGAGCCATAGTTTTCCCTATTCTTGCCAGGGATAGTGATTGGGGATCGTTGATTCGTTAGTACACTGTAAAATTTAAGGAGGTTCATGATTCACTTCTGGCGGGCTTTTGCCGAGATATTGGTAGTTTTTTTAGGTAATGAGTTTGGTTGAAGTGAATCAACTCTTCACTAAATGGCGACTCCAAAGCACTCGGTACAAAAATCGTCACCCATTCATGATATCAATTCACTAAAAAGGGGGCTTAAGCGAAAGCTAAATTGAATGTTCTGCCTCACACATCACTACCCCATTCACTCTACACCTCAAGCCCCCATCTCAATCCCGTCAATCTAAAAACGCCACACCCACTATTGACCGCCGCATACACACTCAAATCGATATCACAACGTTTCCCTTCCTTGAACCCCAACTTCTTAAAAAAGCCAAGAGACTCAGGCTCTGAAGTAACAAGAAGAGGGATTCCTTCGGCTTCCGCTTTCTCGATACATAGTTTCACAAGTGCGGATCCGATACCTTGAAGACGGTGTGAGACTTCGACGCATGTATATATGATTCCTAACCAGAGTTAAAGCGCGTTTTAAAAAAGAAGACAAAAAGGATGAGGAAGACGAAACTAGGGAAACCCACTGAAGTGATCACGCCCCTCAAAGTCCTCTCTCAAAAAAAGACTACTCTTCTCCACCCACTCCAAGATCCTCTCATCGAATCTCTCAATGGTATTTTCTTTCGCCGTCTTCACCTCATCCCCCATTTTTACCACTTTCCCCTTCTCTCGAGTAAGCACAAGATATGCAACCATCTCTTGCGTATCTGGATCCACGACCTTGAAGCTTTCCATTGTCGGATTATGGAATGCCCCGGTAACGGCATTAAGGCATTGCTCCTCCTGCGCTGCATCCGCAGGCCAGTTTTTGTAGAGGAGACGGTTGATTGGGAGCGCTAGTTTGGAAGTGTGGATAAGATTTGCTGCGTCGGGGAGATCTGATTTTTGAACTGGAAGGATAGTGGGCATTTTGTTGCTTTCGTGAATTGCAACAAGGGAAAAGATGAAATGGGTTTGGATGGGTTGAATCCAAGTAACGGAACAGCGAGATCAAGAAAAGTTAAATGGGATGAGATTTTAGGCACACGAGTTTCTTGGGTTTGATGAGGCAAGTCGTTGTTGCGCGTCCACGCTAGGCTTTAACCTTTGACACTAGGCTGTCGCTTAGCGTGTTAACTGTAAATATAATTCATTACGTTTTATAACCATTTGCCAAGGTCAGGCTCGAGGACTTGGAAGAGTATCTTGATCGTGTATATAGTATCAAGGAAACCAGAAGCCTTGGACGAATCAGAGAGAAGTTCAACGCTCTTACTGCCCCCCAAGCCATGACGCGATTAGGCATCTCTGAACGTTCACTCGCAGTGTCCCAACTCACGTGCAAATGGACATTGCGGGTGATATCAACCTATCAGGTTCTTCACGCATTCTATACATTACACAGGATTAAGATAAAAAGAACTCCTACATATCCTACAGAATTCCGAAAGAGAAAAAAAGAACAGCAAAGGGTATCGAGCGCAACGCTTTCTCGCCAAATTATCATCCCATATTCACAAAAACTCTCAAATATACCAAGACACCAAACTTAACGACATCCTAATAATCAAACTTCATAGAAGTAATCATCGTCGAGGCCCTCCCTACTAGGTACAACTCCAGCACCAGGCTCCTGCGAGAAATTGTCGCCCAGTCTCACATTCAGCAATCGAATCTTGAGACCATAATCGCCCACAAGTCCAACAAGCTTATTTGTCTCAGCCGTGATGGGTGCTTGATTGAGAAGCATGAGAAGACCATCCAACCATTCAGAGGCCAGACTATGGGTCGGTGGCATGAGAGTTAATATGGCTCGCTCAGTAAGCTCCCCATTGGCATTGCCCCTATCTTCCGGGGTGCCAGAGAAGCTGTTGATGGTAATCTTAGTCGTCGAGGTGGCAGGTTTCGGTGCCTGTGATGGTGTTTTGAGCGTTGATGTGCTGGATATGCTTGAGGATTCATCGTTAGCTGCTGATACGTTTGAGACAACAGAGCTGATGGTAGAAAGATCGATCTTCTCTTGTAATTCGTCCAGAGAAGGGTCCTGTTCTCGTTGTGCGGGGAAATCTGCGTAATGTAAATATCGTCGATTATGTGACAGTTTGACAAATCTCCATGATGCGGTTGGTGCCTTTACATTCTTTGCATGCCCATCTTCTGGATTTGCTTTGGAACTATGTCGAGGAAACCAGGCACCATCCAAGAGACATCGAATACGTTGCTCCTTGACAAATTGCAATGCTTCCTGCTTCAACTCATCTCGAACTTGGTGAAGATGATGGCCCCATTCATCCTCAAAATTTGCCTCTAGAAACTCCATCTGTAGCTCTCGTAGTCGTGTGTAATCAAACTCATCCAGTTCTTCTTCTACCTCCTGTGCATCTTTCGTCCTAGATGCTTGACCAACAACTTGCTCAATGAGTATTCGGACCAGCTCAGCAACTTTATTGAAATCGTCTCGCTCTGCACCCGTGGCTTTCCAAAGTCTGAAGAATGCATGCAAACTAGCTGCGTGTAGTTTCGACCATTGCAAAAGAAGAGGCCGGAAGATTTTGTCGTAATTCTTCATGCCGTCCAGCACCAGATAGCTTTTGGCGTCTTCGACATCAGATTTCTCGACTTCAAAATGCTCATATAATATAACGGTGCAAGCCAAACTGGCCGTCGCAATGGGGCATCTCTCGTGGAGAGGTCGGGTCGACTGCTCCAGAAGCAACTTTTGAAATGAATCCTCTTCCTTTTTCACGTAATCTGTAAAATCCATCATTCCCAAAAATCCAGTAGGATCGAACTCCCAGGCAGGACTTTCCGTCTCAAATCCCAATCGCCGCCATTTCTCTGGATTGTGTTTTCTACTTCCTTTCTTGGCATTGCTTGAGCTACCTTCTGCTGATTCCTCGGCCTTGGAAACATTGACATTCACAGTTAAGTCTTTCTTCTCCGGTGCGCTTGCCAGGTGTATTCCTTTCAAGGCCCTTCTGTGTTCTGGCGTTTCCAGATCAACTACAACGTCCCTCCATTTCTTCAGCAAAAGTTTCGTCAAGGCCTGGAATTCGAGTAACGGGTGTGCCAGATCCTGCAATGCACTACTTTGCATCAACATATAGACCGCCTTTATGACTCCCAGATCCTGCAAACGCTTTATAAACTTCGGCCATTCCTCCACCGGTGGGACAGTCTTCGTAGATCCCTGGCTTTCGCTCGTGATGGCGTCCCTCATGAGAGCATTCAGTAGCATCAGGGCATTCGCGCATAGGGCATGATCCGCGCTATTCAGCTGGTTGACGACCATCTCGAAGAATTGAGGGTATACGGCAATAGCAGGTTTCAGCGCACGAAAGCCAAAGGCTCCAGGCGTCCTCATGATAGCCTCATGGTTGCTCTGGGAGTGTGAAACGATTGCTACCAAGATGCTCATTGCCCCGCGCAAGATGTTGACCAGAGGATGCGTGACGATCAACTCCACGATGCGCTCGACCAATTCTCCGCTGCCTGCAGCTTCGAAGACCTCCCATCCCATATCTACCTCGAGGAGTCGTGAGAGTGATTGTAGGGAGTATGCGAGCGTGTTTCCGCCGGTCGTCATGATGAGGCGTCGGAGGATGGTTAGACCGCCCGAGGAGATGAACATGTCTGCAAAGGAGGGGTCGTTGATCGAGGACTGGAGCTTGAAAACTGCCATTTTTCGGAGGGCGTCTTCATCGCTATTGAGGCGAGAGAGGAGGGAGGGAATATCTGCTTGGTCCATGATGATGGAGGGGGGTGTGTATGGTGTTGACTAGTTCAGTTGTTGTTGAGATGTGATCTGACCCGTCCTAGGAACCCGGCCTGATGGTAACGGACAAGAACAGTATCAATTGCTCTTTTTTATGAGGGCATTGAGTGCTCTTGTCATGACCCGGGTATGTTGTTTTGCTTTAGGGGGTTGAATGCCTATCCCGCGTGAATGTCAGTACATTACTGTATTGGTGATGCTGGTTGGCGTTTTATGTGGGTCCAATCTGGGGGAGGGTCCGCTGGAGGTACGAAGCTTCTGGAACATATCATAACCTCAACACCACCATTAACTTGCGAAACCCTACAGAATTTCCGTTGGAAACTTATGAGAATTGGCTGAATGTATTTTAGTTTATGTTATTGAACATTCCTTGGCATGACTTTCACTTTTTTTTTTCATCTAGGTAAACTCGCAAAGAACGAGTCGGTAATAATGAAAACTTTACCATGTCAATCTCTAGTATAAGAGAATTAGAATTATTTTTGTAGCCGATTAAAAAACGGTTATCAAGATTTCGGGATGCATGTATCCTAGATAACCACAAGAGTAGCATGGTAATCAAACTGCCTGCTAATCCTAAGACCGAGAAATAACGTGTGTACTCGTAATACTTAACTCCAGATTATCGAATTAAGAGAACTCGCTTGTGAGACTCTGGGGGGTTAAACGACTAGACGAGTGGTCTTGGGAGTTTCTCTTCAATATATGTCTCGCCATATCTCATGGAGTCATCAGAGAGTCTATGAGCTCTGATCACTACTTCCAACAACCCTGGAACTCGAGAAACCGATTGGTTTTTATAGCGACGTTTTCTAATCAGTGATCTACACAGACCTACTTTCAAACAAATGTGTTTTTAGCTAAACCATGCTTCGAGAGCATATTTCATCCAAAGTTGAAACTTAGAAAGAGAGAACAAGAAATTGAGAGAAAAGATATACAAGCTGATTGGACCAGTGATATTTACATCATCTGCTCCCACCTTATAATGCTACTTTAAAAAGCCTCCTAATCAATCCATCTCAGCCCCCCATCCACCTCAACAGCCTCAGCCTCTCTCCTCTCCATCTCCCCCAATATCTCCCCTCTCTCCACTGACACAGCATCCATCCACTCACGCTCGGCCTTTCCCCTCTTAACCCCCTCAACCCGTTCAATCTCCCCTCTTCCCCTCACCTCCTTAACCTCACTTCTCTGCTTCCACTCCAAGAACTCCGCCTGGCTCGCATGAGCACGCCGTAAGTCTTCTATCTTATGTACTCTATCCTGGTCCCAGACTTGGTAGTCTTTTGCATGTTTATTCCTTAGCTCTTTGACCGACGCATTGATTTGAGCTATGGAAGTAGAGGAATCCGCTCGTGCGCGGAGAGCGGATAGGTATTTAAGCTCGGTTTGATGGGCGGTGTGGAGGTGTTCGTTTTGTTCCTGTTCAAATACTGATTCTAGGGCTTCCAAGTCTCGTCGGAAGGTAGTGGATAAGGCATCTAGAGCTCCTGCGTGACTGATCATAAGGTTCTCCAACTTGTCAGCGAGACTTTGGGAGAGCGTTGTTGTTGCATACTCTTGGCGAGAGGCGAGGAGGGATCTCTGGTATAGATGTAATCCCTCAAACTCCATTCTCAAGCCAATGTATCTCGTTGCAATAGAGGATAGGAGAACCTGTTTCTGCACCCGGATTTCTTCTTCTCTTCGAAGTCTTCTCTCCTCAGTAGCAGCCCGTTCCCGTTCCTCCTCAACACGTCTCACTTCCTCATCCGGACGAATAAACTCAGCAACCATCCGAACATTCTCGGCCTCCTCCTCTCTCAACCGCTGTAATCTGGCAGCTTCTTCCGCGACAGCTCTCCTCCCCATTTCCGTTTCGTTCTGCCGACGAGTGACCTGTTCTTGCAACGTAGCCAGATCCGCATCGGTACAAGAACAAGTTCTCCACCTCGCAGTACAGATATAACAGAACTGCGCCGTGCATCGACAAGTCATATGTCGACATCCCCGATTATGATCCACGAAAGCATGGCATGCGTAGCATCTCTTCCAGCGCTGCATCTCCGCCAAGTTTTCTGTCTGCCTCAATGCTGGATCTTCCGGACACTCGCCTTGGTGAGCAGCGCCTAGACATGCTGTACATGTTTTCTTATGGCAGGTGGGACAGGCGGCGAGTTGGTGGGAGGGTGTGATGTGGATGGATGGGATTAAGGAGTTGCAGGGTGAGTGAGAACAGTAGACTCGCGAGGATGCCGGTGTGGACCATTCTAGTTGTCTGGCTCTGTAGGGTTTTTGAAGTTTTGCAGGTATGAGAGGATAAGGGACGGGGTTTAAACAGCATTTGGGGGGAAATTGGGTTTCGGATTGTAGGGTGTTGCTAGGAGCTGTTAGGAGGATTGATATCAAGTGGAATACAAGCGAGGGCCGGTTGGTAGAGATGTTAATCTCGAGAAAACGTACTCTATCAATCTCGCGAAACAAGGTGGACAGTAATTGTGACAAGTGAGTTTTACCAACCCTTTCATTGGGAAGTCATCAAAACAAGAAACGCATTCCCTTTCAATGTTAGCATAGAAACTCAAGCTTTGGAATATTGTACTCACCCTGTAGTTATTGCGGTACTGTCAGCCTCAAACAATCTTGCTGTTGAAAATGCTGCACTTGTATCCGAAAGTGCGAGAACATTGCTCATCTCCCCAAGTCGTTCCAGAGGACTAATGGATTTATTTCCCTTTTTTGGTTTTACAAAGGCGGCGAGCCCAGCGAAAAGCCTTTTCTCGGACTTCGATGGTTTGGAGGGAAAATTTGTATCTACAGGTATCGAACTGTAGCCGGAGTCTGTTGAAGCTACAGAAACTTGGCTCCCAACACTCAATCTTGAATTCTCTGTTGGATCCAGAGGACGCAGTCCATCGATCGTACTCTGAGTTTGATATTAGCAAATCTCTAAGCTCTACGTGGAAAATTTGGTCATACCAGTCTTCTTGGTTTCATCGACACTCGATTTGCTCTCGCTAACGGTTTCTTCAGACGAGCAGCAGCGGCTCGTCTTTCCTCTTCTTCTGCATGTCTTGCTTTAATCCTCTCAATTGATGTTTGCAGTAGTCCCCGGATCTCCCCCCGAAGTATCATCCTGCATGTGATGTAGCTCAGCCGGCGGATCGTATCGTCTCCAATCTACATGTTGTTTTTCTGAGACGCTCGACACGACAGGTTCAAAAGATAATACGAATGCGAGACGACCTCTCTGTCCGTCTCGACACTGGAATATGATGGACACGAGGCCCAAAAGTTTGCTGAAGATGGAGATGGAGTTGCAAAGGCTCGAGTCAATTCTGCTTGATATCCCGAACGAGGGGGAGAGAGGTGATGTTCATGGTTGGGGTCCTTGGAATCGTTTGAGTCCCTGGGCCAATTACTGGACATGCTGGCGACGACTGCCATGCTGATCTGATTTACTCTAAGGAAACGATGAGAGACGGGTATTTGGCAGTATCAATTGAGATAAAGCGGCGTCTTGGAATTGATTCAGCATATACACCAGAGCCTGAGCCTCCGCCGCAGGGAAACATAGCCATCATCTGCATTCCAACACCGAAATAGGCTGTGCACTCCTCGACTCATTGCTTACTAGTATGTCACTAAAACATATCAAACAAACGAAAACCCCTCTAGCCAATTTTGAAGCACAAAAAACAAGTCTGGAGGTCAGGCTGTGTGACAGAAATGCATCTGCCTGCTGTAGAAAGCCGCACACTAGTGGAATGAGGAGGCGAAGTCCGCTCTCGGACCGATCATTGGACCTTTCGAAATCTGGCAGAGAAACAGCCTCGGGTTAGGCTTAGCATAACCCTAAGCGGCCTATGATAGGGCATCGATCGAGCCAATTGAAGGGGGGAAAATAGAAGATAAGTTCAAATTCTAAGCATGCATTGGATATCGATTTTGCACCGCCCGCTGTGGGGTGTTCCCCAACGTTCGTGTGAGCCCTCCTCGTTGTTCCAGGGTGCAATCTGTTTGCTACTCCACGGATTCCTTGTGAAGCCTCATGTTTACCACTGGTTTATCCTTGCGACACTAAGAGAAACTCCGTTTGATGGCGGATTCTAGGTTGATTGTTGAGAAGGAAGAATGAGTTTCATCTGCATGTTCCACCTAATTTTGGATTATGTTGAGTCATGTGATTTGTATTATTAATGGGTGTGTATGTATCATTCTCTCTAACTCATCTATCGTTTCTTATTATAGATATTAAGAAGACATAGTAACATGAGACATGGCATATTCTAAAACAAAAAGAGAAAAGTCTTCTAAATATGTATCTGTCTATTAATACGTTCCCCCTGTCTATGTAGTTAATCCTACAGCCCAAACCAAATTCTGATCCAGGCCCTTCGTGAGCCGTATTTTTTCTGTACCTCAAGACCAGAAATGTAGCAATGAAGAACTCCCGCTAATATAGCAAAGCCAACCCACTCATCCATATATACACTCTATTAATCATTTGTCTTCACTCAATGAAACTTCTTCTCGCCACTCCCACCACTCATATCCGTCATCGCTCTCCTGGGCGGACTAGCCAACGGCAACTCGCCTCTCTCCCTCGCACCGTCCTGCATCATCGCCTGCGTACTCACAATACCTGTTCGAGGGTCAATGTGTTCCGTCCTTGGATCACTCCTTCCGGGACCACCAAAGTTCTCCAACATCGGTGATCGCTCTTCCTGCCCCCAATTCTGGCTATTGGAACGGGAAGTTCCACCAGTATTGCTCTCAGGAATAGCTTGCATAGCAAACTCCCGCTCTCTGGTTCCAGCCTCGAGCTCGTCGAGGTTCGTGCCTTCGTCTTCTGATGAGCGGCCAAGCTTACTTCTTCCGCGGTTGAAGAACCGATTCATGTGTGTGCGTCCGCTGTTAGCACTATGTATCTTGCCGAATTGACTGTCTCGGCTGGTGCTTCGGCCTAGGGAGTTGTTGTCTTCGCTACCTCGTCCGCCTGTAGATGGTCGTGGTGGCGGTGGAGAATTATTGAATCTAGGGACATGGACGGGTGCGCGGTCTTCGTAGATATCGCCGTACACATCACCCGATGAGATACCAGACATTCCGAGGGAGAAATCTACACGTTTAGACATTTGACCAAGTGATTCGCCGCGATGGCGAGCATCGGAGTCGGCTCGTGAGCGGAGGATGGATGGTTGGCTTCGAGGTGGTAAGGAGCCATGGGCTGAAGACGTTTGACGAGAGACAAAAGGTGGCTCAGCTTGAGTAGGCGGCGCGAAAGCGGAATCAGGACCGCTACCAGGGAAACGAGGGTCGTTGGCTGCAGGTCCTTGAGGGTACGCACCATTGAGGTGGAATGGGTATTCTTGTGCAGCACCTGCTAGTCTCATGCGTGGTCCTTCCATACCAAGCTCCGTCATCGTGACCATCATGGCACAGATAAACTTGTTGCGACGTTGGAGACGTAACAATTCATTTTGCCAATTGGATTTGTAGAAGAAGATGACATTGATCGTGATCGAATGAGCTTCGTAGATGGTGGTCAACTCGGTGAGGATATTCTTTTGGTATTCGCGGTTCTCCGAGCCCACAAAGTCGAGAAGACGTTGGCGCAGAGAATCGATTTGTTGAAGGGTGGTGCCGAATTTTACTGTTACTGGAACAGCTTCTGCAAGACCACCGGATCGACGCTGATTTAGGATGAAGAGAGTGTTGAGATAACTGTTGGGTGCTTGAACTACATGACCTTCCATCTTTTTGAATTCGGTATAGAGCAATGAGATGGTCTTTACAAAGTAGTCATCACCCTTCATCTGAGATCCAGTATTGCCGTAAATAGTTACCCGGTCACCTACATCAAATGGATGCTTGACGAATACAAAGATGCAAGATTGTAAAAACTCCTGGGCAGTTGCAGAGAAGAGCCAGGAAAGAGCAAGTACGGATGATCCGAGTGAGGTCAAGATACCGGACGCGGATGTCGAAATGATAGAAACGAAGACCAGGATAGTGATGATGACGACAATGAATAGGAAGATGTCGTCAAGCTTTGAGACGACCGAGTCCAAATCCTTGAGTGATGCAGTAATGGCCTTTCGTTCCCTGCCAATTTCAACACATACTGCCTCCAATTCTTCCATGGAAATGTCTCCGTTTAAATCTTTGTCGAACATGGTAAATGCTGCTACTGCTTCTTCATCGTTATCGAAAGCTGGTTTCAAATCATCCGAGAGTACAGTTTCCGAATCATCATCCTTGACAAACGTGCGGTAGAGTCTTCGAGCCAGAACTTGAGAACCAGTGGTGGTATTGAGGAGGGTCAGAATGCTGAGAGAGAGTCAGTTAGAATATATCGTTGAAAGGAGAATATCAACTAACACTTGATGTGGGTGTGTACTGGTTGCCACAGCCTTTCCAGTAAAGTCTCCAGCCACTTTTCCAGCGGCGTCTCCAACTTTAGACATAACCTGGCGAGCATTCTTTTGTACCTTGGTAACGTATTGCATGGGAGTTCGTGCCCCTGAAGCAGTCCCGGCTACATTCTTTTCTTCGAATTCAGAATCTTCCATGGCAATCTTGTCTTTTGAATACCTGTAGAGCTTAACCAAGCTCGAAATTTGAAACTTGTTAATTTCAATTCTGTCGGCATATGTTCGGAGATGGAAACTAATGGCAATAAGCTGAATAATGATTTTCTCGATGAAATTCAAGGTAGCCGCCACGAAGAGGGATAGAATGATCTTGTTAACAACGGTTTCCCATTGTCTCGTAGTTTTGTCGCCATCGATGTGGTGATTCTTCATGGTTGGGAGGAAGGAGATTTCAATTGCAAGCCACCAGAAGAATAAGGTTGCTGGAAGCTCGAGTTGCTTGCCAAGATCTCTCCATTTCTTTTCGTTGTTCGTGAAAATACTGGCAATCACTCCCATGGGATAGGGAATACACTTTGAAATGATCTGCAAAGATTAGTAAAGTATCCCGACGAAGAATTCAAACGAGAACATACTCTAGCAGCCCATAAGGTTAACCATACAATCTCCAGCCAAATTCCAAACCAGAGAAGTCTAACATGACCAACATGTGCATCCGGGAAGACAAAATAACCCAGAAGGGTAGGACTTAAAAGTAGCAAGGCCAGAGGAGCGATGTAGAAGAAATATCGAATCAAGAAACTTGAATTGTGAATCTTTTTGAAGATTTTGGCAAGTTTGGTGGTTGGGTTCTCGGGTGGTTGGTAGACTTTGGTCTTCTCATGTATCGGTGTAGTGCCGATATCAAAATCGTCGATGGGTTCAGCATTCGTTCGAGATCTTGCCCGGTTTACGTCATGGTTATTGGACTCATTGGTGCTGGAAACTATGCGTTCGGCTTGCAACATTTCCAAATCATCTGCCAATCGACGGGACTGCTCTCGCTGACCGGAAGGGGACATGGGAACCCGGTTGTGTCCTGGATCATCGCCCTTCATGTAACTGGTGGTGACGCGTAGGTGGTTGTTGTCGATTTCGTCAGATTCTCTGAGTGTTCCATCGCCATCCGAGGAACGTCGTTCGTGTGTTTCTTGTGTCTCCGGGCGTTGGTTTGGAGGTTGAGAGGGAGTGAAAGCGGGAAAGGAGTATTCTTCCCGACCCCCTTCGTGGACTGGAGAAGGCATTGTGGGCTGACGGTTGGAATTGGGTTGGAATTGGGTTGGAATTGACGCGTTGACGGTGGGTTCTTCTTTTCTCAAGAGGTTCCCGTCTGGTGATCCTCTTGTGGTGGCAACGAACAAAGGGTCTCCCCACGGGTTCGATTAAAAGAAATTATAGGTCGTTGAAGCTCAACGGCTTTGTTATCGGATTTTTTGGAAGTGGCGTAAGAAATTAGAGTATGGTGCTGTTGTTGGGAGCTCGTCCTGATGCTGTTTGGTAGAATGGGGAGTATGGAGTATGGAGGATGGAGGATGGAGTATAGGAGGGAAACGGAAGAATTGGTGGCTGTCGTCCCAATTGATGTCCAGTGCCCTTCAAACGAGTGTGATGTCAGTGTTGGACACTGATTGGAGAGTGGAAATAAGGATTCGCGCTGGCGAGATGTCGATATCGGATAAGGTTGGATGGAAACTGTTCATGGCGTACTCTGTACACGAGTGAATGCAACAATTGTTGTATTGCCACTCGACACGTCTGTTGGGAGACGATGAGGTTTTGCAGAGAAGAAAGGAATCCAGAAGTCCAGACTCCAGGCCGTCTTCATATTGGCAATCCAGCGGTGTCTCGCTCGTCTCGCTCGTCCCCTGAGAGCGATCCCAGAAGATCCTCCCCAAGAAATTCCTACAGCTGTATCCCTGTCGTCTTGAGTTTACCTATCGTCCCACCAGGGAAAGACGCGCCGCGCCACCTCCACCCATCCCCTTCCACCACATACAGTGTAAAGCGGGTACAACGTGGATACAACACACCAAAAATACATTTGACTTTGTGTCCCTATTTCTGATTGGTGGCAGTTGTCTTCCAAGGCTTTCTATGATGGGCCCATCCAGATCGCCAAGTGGGACTCCCTCTTCAAACCCTCCGACGTCATCGGCAACTAATTCCAATTCACTTTTTCACAATCTTTTTTCATCAATCCAAAACCACCGAAGCAGATCCGGTCGTTCCTTCCTTTTCACATGAAAGGCCCCAGCTGTATACGGTACTACCACTCGTACAACTCACATGCATCCTCCTTCATATGCATCTCCTCCCTTGCCGTTTCAGAGAATCCATCTCCTGCAGCCAAATCAATTGAGCTCACAAATCAAGCATCCTTATCGCGATACCGTGCTTCTCTGCCAGTGCAGTCGCGCCCCTATCAGCCTGAGCCGCCCCCTGAACACAAATTTAAGTATAGCCAAATTACGCCCAGGGGCAGCGATATTCAACCGGGTTTGCTGAGACCAATAGTTGCTCATACACCCCTCCTTGCCTACGGGGTGAAACCTGGATGCTGCCAGGCTGAGCCGCCGAGGATTATACGACTTAAATACCCTGATTTCCGGGTCCCGCACGACTTTACTACCTTTTCCCCTGTGAAACTCTATTCCACCCCTTGCGCTACCCTCGTCGTGCACAATTGAAGGGATAAATGCGTCTTGGAGGCAATTTGAGCCCTAGATATCAATGCTGCTTTTCTCCTATGCTCCAGGACACCTGACTCGTACGTCACAAGGCGGGAGCAAGGGGGGGAGAATGAAGCTATTCGCAACTTTGAAAGTACTTGGGAGATTTAAGCAGCTTTGCGAGTAGCTAGATAAGTACCCTTTATCTGTTCCTACGAAGGTAGGTATGATTAAATTTGCGATTCATTTATATAAGAGTAGTTATTAGTCCCCCTTCCCTACCTTCTAAACCTATAGAAAGCTGCGTACGGACTGTAAGGTAGTTCTAGTTTAGTTAATTCCTCTTTAACTCAAGTGTATCACGTTGTAGACGACAAGAATCGAGTTACCTACCTTTTTCTGTACTTGAAAAGTTCTTGGGAAAGTAGCGTGCTAACAGGGGCAGGGATAATGGTAGTGAAGTCGTACGAATCCCTGAAACTATGGTATTGTACTCGTATAATCGCCGCTGAGGGCTTCCGGAATGTCGGCGACGTGGGGGTCATCCAACGGCTTTTATTGGTGAACGACTTCCAAGTGCGAAGTACGAATGAACGGAGTTTGCGCCGTCAGGACTGGAGAAACACAAAATACGAGAATCTTTTTTTATGGGGCGAATGTACCGAGTAAACGAGATGAAAACTCTGGCTTCTAGTGGCATCCAGATATTTGGGTCTTTGCCCTAAGGTTGTGTATGTGGCGTCCCAGAGGCAAGATACCTGCTTTCGTGGGGATCCGATCACCATGATGGAGAGCAGAACTTTCTCCATACGAAGTAAACCACTATTGCGTGATAGAGCATATTTTGTGGTTCTACGCATACTTGTCCCATTTTTTACATCAAGTTGCACTTGCATCGACGATCCAAGTTCCAGCAGTAACTGTGGCTGCGCAATGATCCACTCTGTCCACCCATCGCTCATCTGAACACCATTCTTACACTTCGTGCTAAGAGCCAGTCGCTGTAGCAAACGATACCGTTGAGTATTACTCTGGATATTCAAGTTGCTATGGGCGTTTCCGCAAGCTTTTTTTCTTTACATACGTCCACCTACCTGTAACCCAAAGTTACCGTTCTCCTCCTTAGGTTATTTTTATACCTTCTTATCTATACTATCCCTTACTTCGTAACACCTTATAAGTAGTAGGTAGGACGTCCTATTAGGTTTAGTTAGTAGTATTCTAGCTACTAGCTACTAGCTACCGACTTAATTCGACTTAATCAGCGAGAGTACTATAGCTAAACTTAATTAGAACGTTCTACCTACTTACTAGCTTCGAAGTATATACAATTAAGTCTTTATAGTAAGGTATAATTACTAGGTTTTTCTAACTAATTAAAGAATTAAGGGGTTTTAGGTTAATTAATTTTTTTAGAATTTTTAGCTATTTACCAGAGGGCTTCGGAGTATATATAGTTAAGTCTTTATAATAAGGTATAATTACTAAGAGTTTTTTCTAACTAATTAGAGAACTAAAGAGTTTTGAATTAATTAATTTTCTTTTTGGATTTTTTAACTATTTACTAAAGAGGTTAATACTTACTAAGACCTATAGCTCTAGTTACTATAATAGAAGAAAAAATCGGCTAGCGCCTAAGCGCGGTAATAGAAAACCGAATAACTATATAATAAAAATAATTATTAATTATTAAACTTTAAATATTAATTAGATAATTCTAGAATTAATTAAATTAATATTTAAATATTTTTTTTCATTTATTCTTTTATTAAGGTAATAAGGTAGAAAGGGTAGTAAAGTTAACCCTAACAACTGAGGATACTTATATACCTATAAGTTAACTTGTTAGTATTATTAATTTAAAAAAATAATTTTATAAAAAATAAATTTTAAATATTAGTTCTATTATTATTATAATTATATAGCTAATATTTAAAATCTAATATACAAAATCTATTTTTATTAAGCTATTATTAGTTATAGTTATTTAAGTATTCTAAGATATTAGCTTAGTTATTATACTTAGTTATTATAGTTAACTTTTTAGAATTACTATCTTATAATATCTACTACTCTTCTTCTTACCTTAAAAAATATTACTTATAAAAAATAGATTTTAATTATTAATTCTATTATATTATTATTTATTATTAAAGGTACTATATAGTGCGGTATAAAGGTATAAAAGAGACTTAGATAACTAACTAAACTATCTAGCCAGCTAAGTATAGAGGCTTAGCGGCCGCCGAGTTATATAACTATATAACTATATCTTATAACCGCGGTCTATATATTATAGATACCCCCCTTTAAAAGCCTACCTTGTTCTAAGGCGCTCTAGTATTCCGGTATTCCGGTCTAGTATTATAATTATAAATAAAGTAAAAGTAAAAATCTATCTTATAGCCTTATTCTATAACTATATTTGTCTTCTTAAGCTTCTCTATAAGCTTCTATACCTCTATATCTACTATCCTTTATACTTCCTTAAATAACCTCTCTTAGCTATATAATTACTAAACTAATATATTATATACTTACTCTCTTTTATATATAGCCTTTACTATATTATACTAAAGACTTTATACTCTTTAGTACTAGGTTTCTTAGGTTTTCGATATATCGGCTAGTAGTTATCTATTTATATAAAAAGTAACCTAGTGTAAGGTTTTTAAGATAGCTATCTTTAGGTCTATTTAGTAGTACGCTTACTATAGTTAGTACTTAGGTTACTTCTTGTTTAATGTTTAGTTTAGTTTTCTTAGCTTAATATATCTTAATTATTTAGAGTACTAACGCCTTTTCTAGTATCCAGATCTTTATTTATAAAGACTCTACTATAACCTTAGAAGCTTAGGTAGTTTTAGTTATTTTAGTTAACTTAATAAATTTCTTAAACTCCTTTTTATCTAATATATAGTTTAATTCCTAGGCTACTACTCTTACGGTTCTTAGCTCTTTAGTATTAACCTAGTCCTAGTTCTCCTTAGGCTTCTCTAATTAGCTCTACTCTCTAAAATTATAGACGTACTTAGATTATTATACCTCTACTATCGCTATCTAGGCTTAACTAATACTTACCTTATTTTAAAACTTATATAAAAGAGGTTCTTCGAGAGATAATAGTTATAAGGTAGCCTTAACTAGCTTTAGTACTAGGGCGGTTACCTCGCTATAATTATAGGGAGTAGTAAGCCTAGGTATAAGTAAGTTACTAGTATTAGTTAGAGCTAATATATCTAGTACTATCGGTTCTAGAGCTAGTATAGTTACCTAGTTTTCTTAAGGTAGGCTAGTAAGTAGTTTTACGGTTTCTAGGCTTCCGGTCTTGTTCGGAAGTAGTAGCCGATCTAGGTTTATTATAGTATTAACTAGGCTCTTAGATATAGGGAGGGTTCTAAGAAAGCGTCTACTCTAGTTATTCTAGGTTTTATATACTAGTTATAAGCGTGTTTATTTTAGTTTTACTAAAGCCTCTAGAGAAGAAAGATCTAAAAGGCCTTCCTTAATCTTTTAGCTCTTACTTAATCTTTTTAGCCTCTTACTTTTATTCTCTAGGGTCTAAGAAACTACGTTTAAAACCTAATAGTTCTAGTAGTAGATAAGCTTTCAGAGATTCTACTGCCTCTAAATATTATAAGTCTTCGAATACCTTAAAGCTAGAGCCTTCTTACTATATTTGCTCCCTACTATATAGTAATATAGAGTCCCGGTTATACCTAAATAAGCTACCCTACTTAAACTCTATATATGAGTTATCTAACCCTTATTTTCTTAGTAAAGATCTTACTACTAGTTAATATAGAGTTGGCTTATAAGAGGTATATTATCGACTTTCGTAACCGTTATTATATATTTCTTTATTCTTATCAAGCTTAGATTTCTTTTAGTATACTATTATAGTAGGCGCCTTAGTTTATTTTTATATTATACTAGTTACTTTGTTTTTCTTACTAGCCTATAAGTCCTTAAGTAGGCCTAGAAGAGGGTTAATACTATTATTGTTTTATAAGTTATCTATAAACTAGCCTAATCTCTAGCGTCTAGCTACTAGCGCTAGTTCTATTTACTTAAGGCTCGGGATTCTAATAGTCTAACTTATATTCTCTTATACTAGGAAAGGCGTAATTTTAGTAACTACTATAAAACTTTATCTAAAGTATAGAACTAGGAAAATCTTATTACTACTTAGTAGTTCTATTAACTTATAATAGA